TTCAAATATGAAGTGGATGTAAGCAATTATAGACAATCGTAATGCCTTCAACATTGACAAAAACCTGATACTGTAAAGTCGTCTATGAAAGGCCCGATATGAAAAGTGTGAACAATTCAAACGAAAAAACTAATGGCCTAATTATACATAACAAAACAATTTACCAAATTTCAAATATGAGTCGAGACATGAACGAATGACAACCACTAAATTACAGGCTCCTGACCTGGGACAGGCAAATAAAAAATATGGTAGGGTTGATATAAAAACGAAGATGTGGTAAGATTACAAATGAGACAACTCTCGACAAGAGACCATATTACACAGAAATCAACAGCTATAAGTCACCGTACGACCTTCGACAGTAAGCAAAGCCTACACCGCATAGTCAGCTATAAAACGCCCCGAAATCACAAATGTAAAACATTTCAAACGAGAAAACTAATGGCCGAATTAATGTACAAAAAATGAACGAAACACAAATATGTATAACACAGCAACAAACGGCAACTACTGAATTACAGGCTCCTGACTTGGGTCAAGCACATACACACAGAATGTGGCAGGGTTAAACATGTTAGCGGGATCCCAATCCTCCCCCTAACCTGGGACAGTGGTGTAACAGTACAACAACATGTTTGTGAGCACTCAACCCATCCCGAAGCTGGGACAGTGGTGTAACAGTACATTAAAAAAACAACCTGCACTAATCAGTTATAATTAGTCAAAAGATCGGTACGAGACACACACAAAAAACTAACATTAAGACAATAGACACAAAGCACCGACATTAGAGTATTTTCAATTACTCAGTGGAAGTTTGCTCAAAGCTAATAATAACTAGTACTGAAATAAATCTTGTTCTCCCAGACTGAAGTATCAATCAGTACACAACGCGCAGCAAAGGATTTATTAAAAAAGAAAACAGTCTGAGAAACGTCTGGTTTACGTTGTATATAGATATAAGAAGATGTGGTATGAGTGCCAATGAGACAACTCTCCATCCAAGTCATAATTTGTAAACCATTATAAGTCAAAGTACGGTTTTCAACACGGAGCCTTGGCTCATACCGAACAGCAAGCTATAAAGGGCCCCCCAAAAATGACTAGTGTAAAACCATTCAAACGGGAAAACCAACGGTGCCGTCTAATCTATTTAAAAAAAAACGATATACTTGCATATAGATCCATATACAATGAAAGTTTTTAAAAAGTTGTGGTCCGAACGTTTTGACCATTGAAATTTTGCAATAGAAATAATAGTTAGGACCAGAAGATTTTAACAGCCAGTGCATGAACTCGCACGAACGCCAGATTTAGTTTGAGGGGCGATATTCTGACGCGTTTTTTAATTCTTGGTCACTTATGTTTAGAAAGAAAGGGGAGAAATCCAAACAATTACCGACCAATCACAAACGTTGTTGCAAATTTTGACCTTATGACGTCAAAGAATTTCCCATAATGCAATTATTGCATATAAATAAAAAACTACTATACCAATTGAATAAAAAATATTGCATTTGAATGACAAATTATACCATTTGAATAAAAAATATTGCATTTAAATGAAAAAATATACCATTTAAATGAAAAAATGTACCATTCAAATAAAAAAATATTGCATTTAAATGAAGAAATATATCAATTAAATAAAAAATATTGCATTTATTAAATGAAAAATATCAAATTTTTGCAACCAATAACATGCCATAATGGAGATAGCTGTAGATTTTGATGAAAACCCAAGTTGCTTTGAAACAGTTATAAAAAAATTTAAAGATAACTATCTGAATTTAGTCCAATCTGAAAATTCTAGCATTTTTTACCTTGATTATAATTAAATCCTTAAATTTGACAGCAATATGCCAAACAACATAACAACCTGGGAGTTAGTAAGATCAATATACAACTGAGATAGCTGTATAGTTTTATTGTCGAGCCTGCGACTTTTGTTGCAGAAAGCTCGACTTAGGGATAGTGATCCGGCGGCGGTGTTAGCTCACTTCTTAAAAGCTTTATATTTTAGAAAGTGGAAGACCTGGATGCTTCATACTTTGTATATAGATGCCTCGTGTTACGAAGTTTCTGTCTGTCACATGTCCATGGTCCTTGACCTCATTTTCATGGTTCAGTGACTACTTTAAAAAAAGTTAAGATTTTTTGTAATGTTAATTTCTCTCTTATTATGAGTAATAGGATAACTATATTTGGTATGTGCGTACCTTGTAAGGTCCTCTTACCCGTCAGACAGTTTTCACTTGACCTCGACCTCATTTCATGGATCAGTGAACAAGGTTAAGTTTTGGTGGTTAAATCCATATCTCAGATACTATAAGCAATAGGTCTAGTACATTTGGTGTATGGAAGGACTGTAAGGTGTACATGTTCAACTGGCAGGTGTCATCTGACCTTGACCTCATTTTCATGGTTCAGTGGTTATAGTTAAGTTTTTGTGTTTTGGTCTGTTTTTCTTATATTGTATGCAATAGGTCTACTATATTTGGTGTATGGAATGATTGTAAGGTGTACATGTCTAGCAGGCAGGTGTCATCTGACCTTGATCTCATTTTCATGGTTCAGTGGTCAAAGTTATGTTTTTGAGTTTTGGTATTTTTTTCTAATACTATATGCAATAGGTCAACTATATTTGGTGCATAGAAATATTTTATGATGTACATGTCAGTCTCGCAGGTTTTATTTGACCTTGACCTCATTTTCATGGTTCATTGCTCAGTGTTAAGTTTTGTGTTTTGGTCTGTTTTTCTTAAACTATTAGCAATAGGTCAAATATATTTGTTGTATGGAAGAATTGTAAGCTGTACATGTCTGACTGGCTTGGTTCATCTGACCTTGACTTCATTTTCATGGTTCATTGGTCAGTATTTAGTTTTCATGGTTAAGTCTGTTTCTTAGAAACTATAAGCAATAGGTCAACTATATTTAGTGTATTGAATGATTGTGAGGTGTACATGTATTTCTTGTTTGGTTTATATGACCTTGACATCATTTTCTTGGATCATGTTAAGTTTATGTGATAGTTGTAGTAAAGCTTTATATTTAGGACTATCAACATAATATCATTGATTAGTAAAGAAGGCGAGACATTTCAGCGTGTGCACTCTTGTGAAAATTCAAGTTAATTTGAAAAAGTAATAAACAAATTTAAAGTTAACTATCTGAATGCAGTCCGACTGAAAATTCTAGCTTTTTTTTACCTATTAATTAAATCCTTAAATTTGACAACAATACACCAAACTACATAACGACCTGGGATTCAGTAAGATCAATGTATAATTGAGATAGATGTAGAGTTTGATGAAAATCCAAGTTGATTTGAAAAAGTTATAGAAATAATTAAATTTGACTATCTGAATTTAACCAACATGAAAAATCTTTTTTTTTTACCTATTAATTTAATCCTTAAATTTGACAGCAATACACCAAACTACATAATAACCTGGGATTCAGTAAGATCAATGTACAACCAAATTAGCTGTATAGTTATATGAAAATCCAAGTAAATTTGAAAAAAAAATAAAGAAATTTAAAGTTGACTAGCTGAATTCAGTCCCACTGAAAATTCTAGCTTTTTTTACCTATTAATTAAATTCAGAAATTTGACAGCAAAACACCAACTACATAATTACCTGGGATTCAGTAAGATCAATGTATTATTGAGATAGCTGTATAGTTTTATGAAAATCCAAGTTGATTTGAAAAAGTTATAGAAAAAATTAAAGACGACTATCTGAAATTAGTCAAAACTGAAAATTCTTGCTTTTTTTTTACCTATTAATTTACTTCTTTAATTTCCCAGCAATGAACCAACTACCAAATAACCTGGAATTTTGTAAGATCAATATTTAATTTAGTTAGATGGGCTGATTTAGACCAGTTGAGACTAAACTTGAAAGTCAAGACTAGTCGAGACAGGTCAAGACTGGTCGATACTGAGTTGAGACTGGTCGAGCCTTGGTCGAGACCATTTCAGACTACACCAAGATCATCAATTACTGAATCCGACTTATTAAGTAAAATCGAGACCAAAGTCGAGTACAGTTAAGTACTGTCGAGACAAGTCGAGTAAAATCTGTGCTCGACTTTACTGGTCGAGCACAAAAACTAGTCATTTCAGACTCTGAGCAGTTTGTAGTGCATCAAAACAAATTGGAAATGGGTAGAAAAAAGAAAACATAAAGTTCCTTGCATTTTCTACTTTATTATGTCCCTTTATAAATGGAAAGATGGTAAATTTGCCGTTTATGCACTCTTTCTTTACTTTAACCAAATGTTATGAAACTTATACTCTATGCTTATTACCACCAAACACAGATCAAGTTCAAATTTGGGTGGTGTAACTTACACTGTTCTCAAGTTATGTCCCTTTATAAATGGAAAATTTGGCAAATTTGTCGTTTCCGCACTATAACTTGTGGTGTAACTTACACTGTTCTCAAGTTCCCCATTACTGTTTGTTATTGAACAATGAAAGCACTCAAACACCCAAGCAATCTCTAATGACAACATACAGAAACAAATGTCATTAAGTTTCAAAGAAATCAAATGTCAATAGGTATGAGTTAGTACATTAACCTTGCATATTTACAAGCGGGGGTATCTATGTCCCATGGACACATTCTTCTTTTATTTATTTGCGGTGTCCACTTTAATACATGTTGTTTGACTCTGTTCTCTCAGACTTTGCATTTATTTATTGAGATTTAAGCTGTATAATATCAATATGGGGATATTTTTGTGGTGCACAGATACGGGGTATATTTTCATAAGTTGGCAATATAAAACACATAGAAATGGACATCTGGAGGTCAGCATATTCTATCTAAGTATCTATACAATGTGTTAAGCCCTAAATCTTTATGAATCGAGACAAGTGTATATATAAATTTAACTGAAATTATTCAAGATTTAAGACATTATAAAATATCTGAGACAGTGTAGAACCTTCAAGTAATACATGCAGTTATTTTCATTTGTTACAGGGAACAAGAAAGTGGTGCAAGAAAAGAAGAAAAACACCATTGTTGATGATATTGAAAGGCTCAGTCAAGGTAAGTTTGTAATAATTCAGTTGTTGAATTATCTTCCAAATGTAAAACCATGTGGTAATTTCGGTCTTTTTGTCTACATGTTAAATTGGTAGGCCCAATTCTGACAATAGAGCATATGATAAACTAAATATAAACCAATATAGGAGATATACTGTAAATTCAGAAATTTTGCAACGTTTTTATCATTGTGAAAATTGCATGGTAAATTTTGTATTTGTAAGGATCATTTCTTGGAATCCTAATAACTAAACTCACGTTTGTGTAGATTGTTCAACAATCTCAATAATTAGACTCACATTTGTGTAGATTGTTCAACAATCACAATAATAAAAGAACACAATAATTTGTGAATTTTAAGTATTTTATATCTTCCCCATTAAATAATTGATAAAGGTTATGTTGCAGAGGACATAGAAATATCAGGCATCCATCAGTCCAGTGTTGTAAGCTCTCACATGTACAATTCTTGCCAGATTTTTATAGAATTATATATCAAAGGTTTATATCACCAATGTCTTGGACAGGTTCTTAAATCAATGCCGATAAACTTTTTTGAGAGTTATACCCCTTGGAGAGATTAATTTAATGGAAAATGACATTGTTAGGGTTCTCAAGTGTACAAGTCTTGCCAAATTTTTATGAAATTTATATCAGGTTTATATCACCAATATCTCGGGAAAATTTGAAAATCAGTGGGGATTGACTATTTTTAAATGAGTTATGCCCCTTGGAAATATAAACTATATGGAAAATTGTATTGTGAGCACTCTCACTTGTACAATTCTTGACAGATTTTTATGAAATAAATATTCAAGGTTTATATCAGCAATGTCTCTGACAAATTAATAAATCAGTGCCAATCAATTTAGAAAAAAAATAGCTATGCATCTTTAATAGAAATAGAAATTATATGGAAATTAGCATTGAAAGAGCTCTCACATGTACAATTCTTGCCAGATTTCCATCAATTTTATATTAGAGGTTTATATCAGCAATGTTTCAAACAAGTTTGAAAATTAGTGTTGATCAACTTTTTTTATTTAAAGAATTATGCCTCTTTTGAAAATATTAACAATATGGAAAATTGCATTGTAAGCACTCTCATGTGTGCATTTCTTGCCAGGTATTTATGAAATTTATATCAAAGTTATATAAAGCAATGTCTCAGACAAGTTTAAAAATCAGTGCTGATCAACTTAATTTAAAAGAATTATGCCCCTTGGAAATATTAATTATATGGAGAAGTGTGTGTAAGTGCTTTAAAGCCTACATTTCTGAAGGATATTTATAAAAAGTTTATAAGCACCCCCAATGGCTTTGAACAGATATATGTGCAATGCAGGGGACATTAGAATTCAGTTCTTTCATTTATATTGTGTTGATACTATAAAGTAACATTTATTGCTATGATTGTTATGATAATAGCTTCTGCTATGATTGTGATGATACTATTTATCTGCTATGATTGTTATGATACTAGCTTATGCTATAGTTGTTATATAATTTACTTTGCATGTTAAAGTATTTTATCAAGGTCTTGTAAAAATTGATATTTCTCATATTGTGTACGAGAGTAAATGATGTTTAAATTTCATTGACTGCTTTTCAGATGAAGTGTCTACCCCTAAGAAACAGAAAGAAGAGGAAGAGCAGCATATAAAAACTGACTATGAACAATGGAAGAAACAAATTCTAGAAAATGCAAGGAAAGCTATTAAAGATGGAAAATGAAAAAAAAACCAGTGTTATCCATTTCTCTATGATATAAACAAGTATATGATTTCAGGATTTTTGCACAATGAGAAGTGTATTTTTAAGTAACCTGATGATAAGGGTCAATGTGAGTTGTTGCCTTCACTTTCACTCTGTTAGACCATGCTTAAGCATGTAAGTTCAACTCTCCATAGGATTGGCCACAGGGTATGTTTCTAGTTAGGAAAATTAAAAAAACATAACATTTGATTTTGACATCAAGTTTTGAGTTTTCCATAGACAACTTTCAAATAAATGCATTTTCCTGTTTATTTTCTATGTCACAATGCTTATGTTATTATGTCACAGTAAGAATTGATTGTTCAATTACGTAATTTAGGCCAAATGACCTGAGATCAACCATTGTAACTCCTTCATAAAAAAACCAACTTGAGATTTAGTAGTCTATTATTGTCAATTTCTAGATATCAAATAAGTCCTATTTGTGGTATCCTTAATTTTAAATTCAATGGGATATATGAAATATATTAGTCTCACACTGAAGGAAACAGAATTGTTGACTTATAGGACATCCTCATTACATAGTAAACTATATAAATGAAAGGATTTTTAGATCTTTTTGAAGGAATTTTAAATTGTGGGTCATGTCAGTACAAGCACAGTATAATAACATGGATGCGTAATTCCTACCTATTGGACTATTGACAAGTTGTTGAAACATCACTCCACCAAACTAAATATGCCCTTCAAGTCCAAATAGACACCAATATTTTACTTTTCGGTTCAATAGTACTCTCAGTAGAGCAGAATAGCTTGTTATTTAGTTTGGTGTAGAAATACAGGTTTAAAAGCAAATATTTTAATCATTAATGTTAATGCTCCATCATTCAAAAAGAACCCAAGCATTTCACACTGTATACATTACAAAATGATTTCATGTTTATTCTTTATTTTGCTTTACACTTTTCACCTTTTTCATATGAATTTATATATTTATTGCACAGCATGTTAAAATCATCATTTTGACCTGGTAAATGCATTCTTTGTTTACTAGGAGACTGGTTATACTTTAGATATTTATTTCATATGTATTATATTGTTATGTGATGATTTATCTGAATAAATATGGTTTAAACTAAAGACTTCAAATATAAGATTCAATCATGATCTGGAAAGCAGGCAAGACATCTCAGGCTGTGTACTGTTTTTTTTAGTTTTGTACGATTGTATCCTGTATATTGTTGGGTCATAATATTCACCCTGTCTTCTTTGAAATAAGAATTTGATCGTTGTTGACCAAACAGAGAATGTAGGTTCTGTTAAAGATCTATCCAAAGTATTGGTTCACTGACTTTAAAAAAAAAAATCACATTGCATCAAGAAAGATCAGCTGTGATCCTGTTTATAAACATTTCTCAACACGAGATATGGCTCATGAAAGCCTCTACATGTCCATTACCATAAGTATTTGATCTGAAAAATCCTTTTAAGATGCCAGTCTCCTGACAGAGGGAAATTTGAATTTAGTGTCATTTATAATGAAAAACAGGACATGTGCCACAATTCAAGCAGAAATCGTTTGTCCTTTTTGAGTACCTAGGCTCACCTCTGGATTTTGTTGGGTATTATTGTTCTTAATAATGACATAACTATCAACCAATGATCAAAGGCTATGGATGTGTACAACTACAGGTCACCATAAGCCCTTCAACAATGAGCAAATCCCATATTGTACAGTTAGCTATAAAAGGCCTCAGGTTAATAAAATGTTAAACTGCTCTAAAGAAAAAGAAAAATGCCTGGTTTATGATCAAAACAAACAAAACAGATTAAATGGCAACCACTGGATTACAGGTTCCTGACTTGGGACAGGCACATAAAGAATCTGGATGCATTAAACATAGTTTGGGAATTCATCAACCATCCCATTTATGGAAATAAGATGAAATAAAAAATATCTTTATTATACCCTTCTCTTAAAGTGGGTGTTTTATTGCATTCATCTTGTCCGTTCCTCTGTTCTTTCATCCAAGAAATATTCGTCACACTTTTCTCAGGAATCACTGAACAGAAAGACTGCATATTTGGTCAGCAACTTGACAGTGATGAGTTTAAGCATGTGAGCAAGTCGAACACCTACTTGCTTTTTGCTGATACTTTAAATATTTCAATATGTTGAATTAAGAGACATTTTTCTGTCACACATTTCTCCAGTAGTACACTGAACAGAATGACTTCATAATTGATTAGCAGCTTGACAATGATGAGATGTAATGTGTGATCACTTTTTTTATCTGTAGGACACCTAACCCTGTTTTCTGATACTTTGAATAACATGTGGAGGTATGCTTATCATGATAAGAGAGGAGTGTATTCATGTTATGATTGCATTAAACACAATATTGAGCTTTTGTTGGAATCAATATAATATATACATATATATGAGTAACATTTAAACAACTGCATCTTCAAATGACCTAAAAGCACTATTTTTTAAGCAGCTGAGTTAGGGAGCTACCATTTAACTTCAAGGGGGGGTTATGGTTTTTTGTCTGAGTCTGTAAAAATTGTTCACGCAAAGCACGAACATTTTTTAAGTTTGACGCTATCAATAAAATTATTTTTTTCAAAATTTAACACTATAAGGTATAGGAAATATCTGGATTCAGAATATTTTTTTTTGTCATCTGCTTGACCACAATATTTTTTTTTCATCAAATTGGAGATCAGAATATTTTTTTAGGAAAAAAACAATAACACCCCCCCCCCCCCCCCCCCCCCCTTAAAGTTAAATGGTCATTCCCTTAGAGTTAAAACATCGGATTGAAAATGTAAAACACAATGGAGAAAATAAATGTTGAATTTTTCAGTAAAAAGTAAGAAGTCCAGATGTAAATTTATTCTCGCTGATTTTCCTTCACAAATAAGTGTAAATGAAACTTTTTTCATATCCTCGTCTACTTGGTTTTTTTTGGTTTTTTTTTTGGTTTAAATGTATTTGAAGTTACCAACCCGGTTCGAGATCTTTGTTATAGCATTATACTGATACCAATGACCATTTTCGTTTGGTTATAATGTATAATTGAGTTGGAAACCAGTCGCTTTTTTCGATGCACATCTGCTTTTATCGTCATTTATTTGGTATAAAGAAGGAAGCACATTTTCTGAAATTAGATCGGGAAAAAATAATAAAAATTTATGAATTAAAGTTTATATTGAGAAGAAGAAAAGAGTCAATACTGACAATAGCTTAATGAAACCTGCCTGTTATCAGTGAAGGTAAGTGTGTTCAGTTTGGGAATAAACTTCTTAACAGCACATGGATCCTATACAGAATGATTAAAATAAAATTTCGACAATTCCTGTCGCAATCGTTAATCATTTGCAGACAAATTAACTTTTAGAATTTAATGTGTCAAGTTTAATATAGACTGTAACAATATCCTTGTATACTATTTGTGCACTACACTCCCTTTTACGTTTAAGGATTCTCAGTGTGAAGTGATTTTTGGATTTGATCATCCATACCTGCTTTTCTTTTCTAATGATATTTTGTCGTGTCTGCTTACCTGTGGATTAGTACGTATTCGTACTGATGCTCTTGGATGGCTCTCTGTGTTTAATTGAGCATCTGCTTCGTAGTATCAATTCATCCAAAGATGGGGATTGTTGGTTCTTCCAGCAGTACATGTATGTCCTAAGTTTGAATATTTATAAATAAGTGTAGTGGCGGTGTATATAAGTGTATAAAGAAGAAGTTTTTAAAATGAATGCTGAATATTCTATAAATATAGGATAGGGGATTCTACACTTCAAGAGGCATTACCAACTGAAGTGGTTCATCTGGAAAAGGTGGAATGTACAGAATAGGTAACACTGGTAATTAACAGGTCTTACTAAATACCTACATTCTCCCGCAATTTTATCAATAAAGACCCCGGTTTAACTAGTGGTTCACTTAAGGATAAAAACACAATTAGATGTTTCCACAGGCTCTTCCATATTAAAACAATGTAACAGAATACATAACAATAGCAAACATTAAAAAATGTATTTACTCTTATATATATATGTACACCCCTCATCAGTTCATTTGTTTAGCAGGAACCATTACATGGGCCTGGAGGGGCTCAACCTGTCCCAGGTCCCCCAAGCTACGATTAGCCAGGAAATGACCTGTGTCAGGCTTCACCCACATTCCTTCCCAAAGTGAATAATAAAAATGGCCAAACAATAAACAGCTTACCTTTTCTATCTTCATGATCTTATGCGGTGATATATCTCCCCAAAGATGGAATTATTAACTAGCTTAGTTAATTTAAAAATGTAAATATTTACAGAAAAACTCCAATATTTGTAAACTTACATATCCTGCAGCTATATATAAGAACACAGAATAGGTACCACACATTTTTAGCTTACCTGGCCCTTGGGTCAAATGAGCTTTTCTCATCACTTGGGGTCTGTCGTCGTCGTCTGTAAACTTTTACAAAAATCTTCTCTGAAGCTACTGGGCCAAATTCAACCAAACATAGCCACAATCATCATTTGGGCATTAAGTTTTAAAAATGTGTCGGATTACCCCGCCTACCAACCAACATGGCTAAAAATAGAACATAGGGGTAAAATGTAAGTTTTGTCTATTATCTTGAAAACCTCTATTGATAGAGAAAATCTGACACTTACAGTAATGTTCAAAATGTTGAGATCTACCCATTGTCTATTTAAATCAAAACTGTCAAACGTCTTATAGGAGTTATTGCCCTTAAATGATGATTTTTACCAATTTTTTGCATTTTTGCCTAATAATTTGAAAACTCTTATAGGTAGAGAGAAACTTCTGTTAGCAAAAATTATCAGCAAGACAAGATCTACAATTGAGACAACATTGCTAAAATCTTCAGACTACTACTAATTAGAGTTTTTGCCCTTAATGATGATTTTTTGGTTTTTGCCTTATATCTTAAAAATTATAATAGATAGATAGAAATTTAAATAAGTAAAAATGGTCAGCAAGACATGACCTACAATTAAGTCATTATGGAGGAAATCTTCCAATAACTTATTGGATTATTTGCCCTTTTTTAATGACGATTTTTATTAAGTTTTTTGCATTTTCCCCTGTATCTAAAAAATTACAATAGATAGAAACTTGAATAAGCATATATGATCAGCAAGACAAGTACTATGCACAAGTCAAATAGCAGAACTCTTCAGTCGACGCCTTATTGGAGTAATTGCTCTTTAATATTGATTTTTACCCATTTTAAGTGTTTTTGACTGTTAGATCTTGAAAACTATATATGATAGATAGACACTTTAAATAGCAAATATGATCAGCTAGACAAGATCTTCAAATAAGTCAACAATGCTGAAATGGTGAGTCAACTCCTTTTTTGGAGTGTGACGATGTTTACCAATATTTTGCATTCAAGATAATAGCCAAAACACATATTATCTTCAAAACTGGGAACAATAGACACTTTAAATAGCAAAGATGATCAGCAAGATCAGATCTACAATTAAGTCAAGTTTTGTCGAAATCACTAGTAGACATTTTATCGTAGTGATTGCCCTTACATGACTAATTTTTGTTTTTGTGATTTGGGCGAATTCAATAGAAGATAGAGAGAAACTGTAAACAGAAATCTGCAATACACATTGATACAACTTACAAGATCAACAAAAAAGAGATTTTTGTCATGAGTTCTGTTCTTGTCCACAATGTTGGAGAGTGTTCATTGTTGAAGATGCACATTGACCTAGGTGAGCGATACAGGCTCTTTAGAGCCTCTAGTTTATGTTAGCCTTTGACATTTAAATGATCTGAGTATTTCCTTGAAAGTAAAAGTGAAAGTAGAAATACAAATTTTATTTATTTACATCCTGAATTTAATAATGGCTTTGTACAGGTAATCATACAGTAAATATTAATTGTTTCCTTTCAGATGCAAGGTTAATGGTAAACATGTAAAGTAGTGATTGATAAACATTTTTGTTTGAGTTCACACCTTTTCTAACCATTGTTGACCAGGTAAGAACTAATTGGATTTCAAGTCATTATAATGACTTATAAAGATTTATTGTTCTTTGGCTATAATGAATCTAAAGGAATAAGATATAGTTTCTGTAAAGGCTATTCCAGGAAAAAATGTGTCAGAGGATTGGACACTGCATGATATTCTGTGGGTACTTGTAAAAGGGGTTGAAGTAAATTCAATTATGTTACAATCATGAATGAATATAAAAAGTTATGGTTAGTAGGAAATATAAAAAAGTGTCATTTTAATAAATGTTATTAACAGATATTGTTGACTAAAAGGAATTCTACTCTCACATGATATATGGTAAATTATGTCTTAATCAATTTATATCATTTTTGAAGGATTCATTATGTTAAACAAGAGAATGATTGGAGTTGTAAGAGGTCTGACAATTGTCTTGCCTTTAGGACCGATGTAGAAATAAAAAATGTTGAACATCAAATGTAAAGATCGTTAGCAAAAGTGATCATTCAAGCTTTTTTATGGTTTATTGACTAAAAAATAATAAATCTTCTATCTCAAGAGCTATCAAGCTCTTCGATTTAATAATGCGAATAAGTTTGATGCAAATGTTGCATGTCTTTTCTTGACATGCTTCTAAATTTATCAAAAACAAATGAAGGACTTGACAATATCCTGTGAAAGTATTGGGCAAGGTTTTATATATACAAATGTAAGTGGAGAATCAGTTTCTCTTGACTTTGAGATGAATATGAAACCATTAAATTGAGTGCCTTTTAAACTACCATAGATTAATCTCCAGTATTTTTAATAGCACGTTTACGGGACATACATGTATTATGGTAAACTGTTGTCCGTCCGTTGTCAACATGTTGTACAATAACTCAAAAATGCTTTAACCATTTTGCATGAAACTTTGGTGAATTGTTTATATCTATTGACATAAGCTCCCTTTCGATTTTTATAAATTTTAGATTTTTCGTTTCCAAGTTATGGGGTTTTATTCATTAAAAAAGGTGGATTTTCCAGTTTTCGGACAATAACTCAAAAACACTTTCACCAATTTGCAAGAAACTTTGGTGAATTGTTTATATCTGTTGACTTGAGCTCCCTTTCGATTTTTATAATGTTTAGATTGTATGTTTCCGAGTTATGGGATTTTATTCATAAAAAAGGGTTGATTTTCCAGTTTTCTGACAATATCTTTAAAGTGCTTTGAGCAGTTTTCATGAAACTTTGATGACTGGTTTATATCTATTAAAGTAACCTCCCTTTAGTATTTTATAAATTTCTGATCTGACATTGAGAACTTATTGAACTTTCTTTAAAAAAGCAATGGGCGTATCATGCGCTCATGGCGCTGTTTATTTATGGAAAAATTACACTGGTTGACGGGTGGCCAATTGGCATAAATGACGTCTCTGAACGATGGGTTCTTACTGTCATGACTGTGTTGTAATAACATAAGCATTGTGACATAGGAAATGTATGGAAAAGTGAATGAAATAGAAAGTCATCTATTGATTTTTTCAGTGATGAAGTTCCAAAAAACTATTAGTTATTTAGCATCACCATGTGATCACCACAAATTTCAATTATTAACTTACTATAATCCATAACTCAAATGTGCCCTTTTTCAGGTGGGTTATATATCCAAACTACATCATGCCTTCCATCCCACCTGAAACTCACCAGAAAAGGCTGGAGTTGAAAAGGGACCTTTATAAACTTCTGGTGGAATACTCAGATGGGATATTAAAAGTTAATGTCTGGCCACTTCTTATGACAAAGACAAAACTAAGATTGAACAATTCAGAATTCAGAGTGGGGTCTATGGATGGAATTTTTAGACTATTTGAGGATATGGTACATGAAGAGCAAAGAGGTGGTAAAACATACATCTGTTTAAATCAACATTTTTCCTGGGAAGCCAATAATGAGGTACAACAGAGAGCAATGAAGTCCATGACACCAGGTACTTCATCACAACAATCTTCTTCTGGTCTAGTATCCTCTCAAGTCTTTGTAGCCACTCCTATACAGCCTTTAATGAGTATGCCATCAAATAGAAGTAATGTTTCATATATACCATTTGGAAGCCCAGCTCAGCAAGCTCCACAGATGCCATCTAATGCTTTTTTAGCCCATCAAATTGGAAAAATAGGTCCAAGGATGCCTGGATTTCGGACATCAGGTCCGATGCCTTCTCTCCTTCCGGCTCCAATAGTCCAGTATCCAGGACCAGAGATAAATCCTTCTGTACAAAATGTCACAAAAAAGGAAGAGGACTCTGAATCTGACGTTGATTCTGATTTGTCTGAATTTGACATCGATGATAAGCTTATCACTGGGAACAGAATTGCCAATAGTTTGATAAAGATGAGAATAGTTGATATACTTACACAGACTGGGCCATTGCACCAAAAGAAATTAGTTGATCAGTATAAAAGACGGTACAATGCACCATTTGCTCTGCATGCTGGTTGTAAGATAGAAAAAATTACAGAGATGTTTCCAGATGCCATTGAAAGATTTAAACCAAATCCAGATGGCAAGAAAAAACAACTTCGAGTGAAACCGAAATATCAGGAAATGTATCTGAAACGTAAGTGTCCAGTTCAGACTTGGGACCAGTTGATTAAACAAGAAGAAGATTTAATGCAGGGTCAGAAACCAGTTATTGACTTAACAGGTGATAGCGTTATAGATTTAACTGCTGATACCCCAAATTTCCTTTCTCTGGCAGTAGACACACCTGGACCATCCACAATCAGTACAATAACTCAGAGAGGGCCGCAGGGCAGACACAGATCATTAGAAAGACAGAGCAGAGACAGATCATTAGAAAATAATAGAAGACAAGACTTCTCCATGGAAGGTTACAATCAGCCTAATCAAGGACAAACAATTGATGCTCCAGCACCATATGAGTCTTTACATGCAAATGCAAGACCAGTTAATAAAAAGAGGTTTGAAGAAAAAGAATTAAATGTAGCACCAATGAGAAGGATGAATAGATATGCAAGACCAACAACAGAGCAAGTTGAAAATTGTGCCCAAGAATGTATAGAAATAATAGCAGAATCTAATAACTATGTATCGCAGGAAAGAATTGAAAAGTTACTCCTGCAGAGATTTCATGTGAGAAACTTAATGGAAATAGGACCCCGTTATATTGACCAGATTGGTTGTGTACATGAACATAATAGAATAATGGCAAAGATCAATGCTTACGTCCAGGCCTTTCTCAAAGTGAGAACAATTTGTACACTACATGAACTTAAAGATTGCTTGAAAGAATATGCACCAGGTAAATCAGATTTTAACAAGCTGAACTTGGGGCCGTTACAAAGACTACCAATTATATATCAGATGTTTAAATTTCCAACTGATATAGAAGAAATTCCTGAGATTACAACATTAGATGTACTGGAGCATTTAAGGAATTATTTAACTAAGAAGCAGAAATGGACTGAGAGAATTGATCTACAAGATTTCATGGAATATCTTGTGGACCAGTATGAAGCTGAGGATGCTTTCCAGCTTGGTGTTAGGATTAGAAGTCTTGCATTAGGAGTACAGGTTTGTATTTTTCTTGTTATTAGTCTTATAAAAAAAAAGGATAAGGAGTTATGGTATGATTGCTAAAGAGACAACTATCCACCAGAGTTCAAATGATGAAGAACATTTTTTGAATGATACATAAAAAAGGATAACAGAAATTATCAAAAGTATTGCACATTAAAACAAGACTACAACAACCTCAAACACTGGACTCAAACACAAACACACATAGCTATATATATAGTCAAACACAATGAATAACACATGGTCAAGATATCCCTCTTGGTATATAGGCACACATTTAATGTGGTTATATCAGTTTTATTTGTACACAAACATCCCGATCTGTTATACAATTAAAACTTAAAAGATATAAAAATGCACAAAATGCAAATATAGTAAAAATTTACCATGACCATTTTTTCAATTAATCTTTTAATTGCCTATGATACCATACTTGAAGGTACTGAAGACAGCACAGAGACATACTGGTCAGACAAGACGAATGGTAACTGAAGGTTTCAAAGATCAATTACAGAAAGACATTGAGACAGTGTTACAGAAATTCAGAATGACAGTCATGCACACTACAACTGATGGTACATGGGAAGTTAGAAACCATTACATGAGACTTTCTCCTGAAATGGCCATTAAAGAAATATTTCAGAAGTTTCACCTTATAATGTCAATCGATGAACCTTCAATAGATTCAACAAAACCAGACAGAAAAACAAAACAAGAGAGAAAACGTCAGCAGAAGATCAAAAATGCAGTATCTAGTTTTCTTGATACTGTGAAAGATGATGTGATGGCCAGAACTTTGTTTCATCTGGCTATATGTGTCAGTAATTCTGTACTCGAGGAGTCGGCATTGGAAATATTGGCACCAAATGAAGAAGAAAGTGTGGTTGAACCAGTAGCGGAGGAGAGAGTTAAACCATCTAAAGGTAATTAAAATGCTCATGATGTTAATTCAGGTATATAAAAAAAACTTTTAACAGTAAAAATTTATTATACTCCCGCTTTAAAAAAGTGGGTGTATACTGTTTTACCTCTGTCTGTCTGTCCATCCATCCGTCAGTCTGTCCATCCGTCCCATGAATATTTTTCGTCGCATCATTCTCAGGAACTACATCATAAGGATTTGAAATTTAGTTTCGGTGTTTATATAAGTCAGCTATACTGTGTGATGCTTTTTAGATTCATCACTCAACAACTTCCTGTTTACCGAACACTTGCATATTTTTACACTATTGAAATTATCCAGTTGCGGCTGGGTATCATCAGTGAGCAGTAGCTCGCAATTTCACTTGTTTGTTCAGATATGCAAAAAAAAAGCACCATGTTAAAAAATAAAAGTACTATTCCTTTGTTTTAGTTTTTACATGTGCATGTAGGGATTCTGTGTCATGAATCAATACACAAGAACCCATAATTTTTTATCCATTGCTGTATTTCTTAACATTAAAATGAAGTATATAATTAAATTCTGCCTTCACTCTGTAAAAAAGTGGTGATCAATTGTTAAAGAGTTGGAAAGCATTTATATGTGAGGGAACTATTTCATATAATTTTAAAAAGTCACCACGACAGTGAAATTTCATTACTGCAGTCATGTGATAGGTTTTTAAAAGTGCTGTGTAGATTCTGACATCACCGGTGAAGTCTGAATTTTTTTTTTAATACATATGTTACCATAGTATATTTGTAATATTTCGTCCCAAGAAATAATTTTTCCTTTATTTGATAGCTACTGTTCTAAACTTACTGAAGAAGTATCTGGACCGTTGTCTTCAACATGGAACTTTGAATCTATCTTTACTTGACAAGATTGAAGAAAAAATTACAGAAGAATGTAGTTTCCCATCATTTGCTGAATTAGGTTATGGAAGATTTCTACACTTTACCTTACAAGAGGCAAAAGGAGTAAGTACTAATGCCTCAGCTACATGACGTGGAGATAGGGTTTACCATTATCTAATGTATGTCCTTCTGTCACTCTTTTTCTTGGCCTACTTTTAGCAACCCGATTATGTTGTCACGCGTCGTTAATTTTTAGGACATCCAATGGGCAATAAATCAATTAACAGCCACACGGTGTTGGGAGAGAATCTTTGGAGGAAATTGAGAGTATAATCTGCGGGACGCGGTTTGACTCCGAAAAACATGGAAATCGGAAAAAAACGATCTCGAATCGATTAGTTTAAATGGTACTGTATGCTTTAATGTTTTTAATTAGTGATAAATTTATCTGTATTAGTATATTGTATACTGTTATATAATGTTATTTTCAGGTACTAGAGGAGATTGGAGGTACATCAGTAGGTTCAGGGACAGGTAGCAGTGATATAGATAGTGGTTACAAACCTTCACATACAGATGTACTGAGCTTTATCCATCAGTGTATACAATGTGGAAAGGACTTGGTAAGTACTTAAAAGAATGGGCAGGAAACTATTGAGGAAACAGGAAGTCAGTCATCATAAGATTCAGAAATTTTCATGATTTTAATCACTCATGTACTATTTAGTACAGAATCGAAAACACTGCAACTAGGTTTAGTAACAGTAATGTCAGTCATCATTGTCATATAGCGGGTATTCACAAGTTGTATTTGGGGGAGATTTTTTTCAGAGTTAAATAGTTAATCATTTGAGAAGACCTCTTCCACAATAAGGCAACAATCTTTTGGCCTGAGATTATTTCAATTGCCAGGCCACAATTCTTGCTGACCAGAAACCACATCCATTATAAGGTCACAATTATTCCTTAAAATGGGAGGTGATCTCTCAGTCTCTTGTTAGATGTTTTGGCCTTACATATTGGAGGTACTCTCTTATGCAGAGTATTGTTTCCTCACCAAAGATCATTTCTATTATAAGCCCACAATTCCTGTACATCAGAGACCACCTCCATTATAAGGTGTTTTCCAATTTCACAATTTTAGTTTCCTTTGTTTGATGTTTTTCTTGGAACAATTATAGATAATGATTAAAATCGTGATTATGATGTCAGATCAATTTGAATGTGTGGTGAAGTCACAGTGGTAATTAATTATGGATATGAAAGCATAGATTTTATTAAATTGACTCGGGTAATCATGTTTTTATGCCCCCGCCGTTGCGGAGGGGGCAATAAGTTTTACCCTTGTCCGCCCGTACGTACGTTCCAAAATTGGTTTCCATTCTTTAACTTTAGTTTGCCTCAACCAAATGTTATGTAACTTATACACAATGCTTATTACTACAAAACAAAGATCAAATTTGAATTTTGGTGGCGTCGCTTTTACCGTTCAAGAGTTATGCCCCTTTACAAATCGAAAAATCGCTGAATTCTTTCTTAAGTTTGCCTCAACCAAATAAAATGAGCTTATACACAATGCTTATTACCACAAAACTCTGATCAAGTACAAATTTGGGTAGCGTCACATCTACGGTTCTTGAGTTATGTCCCTTTATAATGTTATATGCAAGCGGGGGCATCATCTTTGTCCCATGGACACATTCCCCATTTATTTTATTTTTTTCTTGTTCATGACTCTTTAAGTTTTTTAAGATCAAATTTACACGAGAGATTATTTTGGCAAATTAATCTTATTCATGAATGATTTTTTTTCTTGTTCATGACTCTTTAAGTTTTTTTTAGATCAAATTTACACGAGGGATTACTTTAGCGAATTAATCTTATTCACGAAATTAGCAAAAAATAAACCCCTTGCAACATTTATTGCCACGTTACAGTATTGTTTTGTGTTTACTTAATATGTAGTTTATTTTGGTAATCCATTGTATTTGTCTGACTGTTTATTAGGTTGACCATTGTAATCATTTGTCATCTTTTTGTTTATTCAGGAAGAAGATATAAGTGCAGCTTTATGTAACCAGTTCAATGTAAAGGAGACCAAACATTTAGGTTATGGGAAGATAACCAATCTGATGACAGCATCAAAGAAACCAGGTCAACATCAATACCAAGAACACTCATTGGTGTTTGAAGTTGCCATGGGAACTGATGTCAGGTATTACTATTTAGAAATGATGTGAAGGATTGCTGTGTAAACTTTTCAACATTAGAAAATATTGTATGTTGTTGTTGGCATTAATATGGCCATTGTTAAAGATGCACATTGATTCAGGTGATCAACACCTAGTTTTATTGTCTCGCTTGACGGAGTCAAAAAAGCGAGACATAGGTATGCTGTTTCCGGAGGCGGCGTCAACAATGTATTAGTTTGTGATTAGGTCTAGTTTGTGGTTAACCACAAGTTGTAGGTCAATCATATTTGGTATACAGTTGTATTAGAATTGGCGCATCTCATTTACATGGAGATGGTTTAGCCATGTACCTCAGTCATGGTTCATTGACTTTGAATATTAGCCTAACTTGTTAAGTATTGCCATTTTAATTTCAACATTTGCATAATCAAAATTACAAAAAAGCGAGACATATCTCTGTGATAACAGTTTATTACTGGTAAAAATAATTGTCAATATAGCTCTGTTATCACATGGGAAAACTATCAAACATTTGTATTCATTGTTTATGTTTTATTCTTCAGGAAAAGTCAGGAAACAAAGATAGGAATGTTAGGCCATCAAACCAGAGAAGCTGCCCTTGCCTGCCTACATAATTGCCCTTTATTGGAAGACATGGAGATATGGAGCCACTGGTCTCTTGTGTTTGAACCAGAACTGGGCAAACTTAAAGATTTTATTCAGAAATATGGAGGAACAAATACTCTTCCAGTTGAGGGTGAGTCAAAAAATGTATAGATAAGTCTAATATGGCCTAAAATATTGTTCACTTATATTGATAAAAGTTGATTGTGAAATCGTACTTGTAAGATGCAGAATAATGTAAAACTGCATAGAGATGTGGCCTTTGTATTTTAAGTAGGTCATCCTTTACTGAAATTAGGTCATCATATTAAAGTATATATACTTTACTAGCTTGTTTCTTAGTTCTAAATTAAATCAAATGAATTAATATCATGAATATTGATTATGAAAGATTTTTTTAATTTAAGGTGGTAAAAAGTTATTTACATACCATATTGCTGCCTTGGAAACAGCGCCAGGAGTTTTACTGAAGTTGACAAGCCAAACTTCCACAGAAATGTTTGAAGAGGCTTTGATGCAAAAGAACCCCAGAAATGTTTGTGGACAATTGATGTCTCTAATTGTTGCCAATAAAGGCATGAAGAATTCACCACTAGCTCTCATAGCAAATCAGATGAAATCTCAGTTGTTTACCATGCATGCTGCTGATACTAATGACAGTCTACCTGGTAGGTTTATATAAATCAACAAACAAAGTACAAGCAAAGCAATAATACACAATACCATATCAGAAATACCTTGATAATAGAATAAAGCTCAAAGTACTTAACTTGTTGATATGAAATCATACCGTCCAACTCATCAATATTAGTGACTGTACAACAATGTCAAGGATGATATAAGAAGACACAATATGTACAATGCAAGAAAGTAATTTATACAGAATTTTAATGCCAAAAAAATAACAGCAGCATATTGGTGTTATTTCATATTATAAATTATTACTTTGATGTACATTCCTCAATACCAGATTCATGAAATAAACATTAAAAGTAAACTAATAGCCATTATCATTAAGTCCATTTATCAAAAAAGAAAGATTTAAAGGACAATCCCTATTAGTAATAGCTTAATAGATAGTAGTATACCCTATTTAATATCAAACTAGAGTTGCAATAAGATTTGTCTCTACGTAACTACAAAATCGATAGTGGAAAATCATTTTAAAAAGTCCTATGGTGATAAATGTTCAGTTAAGTCAGTATTGTTCATATGTGCCAGGGCCAAAAATAAAATTTAGATTGTTTGATGTTGCCAACCTACCCACCTAAAAAGCAGCCTTCTCGAAAAAATTTATGACACAAATCATTTCAAATTTTTTTAGACCCCCGCTACTAGGCGAAGGGGGCATTAAGTGTTACCCTTGACTGTCCATCTTTCCATCCGTCCTTCCATCTGTCCCAAAAGTATTTTCACATTTTATAAGCAAGCTTGAGCAGGGGCATTCATGTCCTCAGAAAATATTTTTTCCTGTTCTAACATAGTTTTCTTGTCTAAAACATGTAACTTATGTTGTTGGCCAAATAAAAAAAAAATTTACTATCAATTTTAGTTGTAATGTTTTTTTGTGAGAAGAGCCCAAGATTACATAGCCTCTTGGTCAAGACTGTAGAAGTAAGAGTTTACTTTTTCATTTATTTTAGGAGCACCACCATCAGACAACCGTACAGATGAAGCTGTTCAGTTTGTCCTGGCATGTCTTGTTAATTTACCTGTTAAAACTTGTGTGTCATTAGCTAATCAGGTAAAATTTGATTAGGAAACAGTTTTATGGCATCAGACTTCTTGTAGATAATTATTATCACTGTGCAAAAAGATCAACGCTTTATTAGCATTTTTGCTTTAATTGTTTATAAAGAAAATTGCAACATAAATTGTCAAGTTATAAATGTGGCTTTACATTATTTAGGTAAAATTCAAGAATGTCTGTTTTATCTTTAATCCATAAATAAACTTTGACATTTTTTGTCTTCAGAGAACAATTTAAATACATGCACAGAAGAACATATTATTTCTGAGCATTAAAATTTAAAAATAAATAAAAGGAAAAGAGAAGTGTATGTGAGTGTGACAGCAAGGCAACAACAACTCTCAGATTTAAGTACAACTTATATTATAAAACTAGGTAGAATTATACATAATAGATAAGTCTCTATTTTGTGAGAAAAAGTGAAATTCAACTTTATGATATCAATATACCCCTATTGTAAAGTGTTTTTAGTAATGAAAATATTACATTCATTGAAATCTGTAGAAGACAGTAAGAAAATATTTAAAGAAAACTCAAGTTATTCATGTTTTTACCAATATTAATTTTCATCCATTTCAGATATTTTTAGAGCCGTTAGGACAGGTGGTTGGATCATCTAAATCCAAGTTTTTGTTGTTATCTGCATGTCAGACAGCAGACGACACTAACAGACTACAGGAACTAGGATGTATGTTAGGGGTAGGAGAATGGACGAGTCAGATACAACAGAAATGTCAGATAATGATGACAGACGTAGAAATTGTACCGGAGGAGGAGGCTGAAATGATTGTTCTGGATGACAATGATGGAGAGGTTGGTGACATACTAAGTTAATGTAGTTGTTACCTATGAAAGAGGGCATCCATAGAAAAAGACTATACTTCTTATGGTGATCTTTACTTAGTATTTGTTATTTCTTTCGTATTTAGACATCTGAATCGAATTATGATGGTAGAAAACTTATGCTGTACATTGATGTATGTAATTTATAAAAAAATTAGATGAAATGGATTTGCAAATTGAGTACAAGTAGTGAAGCTGGTTTTAAAGTGCTTTGGTTCACACAACCAAAATGTTTTCCCTGAAAGTGACTCATGTATGATAATCTGGTGTTGATGATTACTCTTTGTATATATATATTACAGTAGAAGAGCTACATCATCCTAATTATTTACTCAGATGTCTTATAGTCTTGAGGATCTGATTTACATGACAGTTGTCCTTGACCTCATTTTAATAGTTAATAACTTGATATTAAAATCTTTGTATTGTGTTCCTTATATGGTACTTTCATTGAGTAGTTGTCCTCTATTTTCATGTTCATTGTTCAACATTGTGTTTTGATTTTAAAATTCACTATCTTAGTAAATATAAATAACAGGTCAACTATATTTGGTCATTGAAATAATTGTAAGGGGTACATCTCTGTCCAAGAGGTATTTTCATGTTCCATATATTGGTCATACTTATTTCTCGCTATTTGGTCAACTAATGTTGAAAAAACTTGGAAAAAACTTATTAAAGCTATTTCATAAGAAAATATATGATGAAAGCTAGTTTAGTCAATGCCTTATGTAGAAAACAAAATAAATAACAGACAAAAATTTTAACATTTAAAAAATGTATTGCTTTTACAAGGAAAGTGATGTAGAAAGTGATATAACCTCTATAGCCTCCCTCAGTTCCATTCTGTCTGACGGAGAAGATGATGATGTTCAGATAGTTTCAATGGAGAAAGCATCGGATGTTAAGAAAGAAACAAAGCAGGAAATAGAAGAAAAAGAAGGATCAGTAGTGGTTGAGTTATCAACTGGTGACGAGGACACACAGACAGAACCGGATATTGATGATGCAGGTACTGAAATTAAAAGAATAAATTCATATTATAGACTGGTTTATTATCAGAAATAATAGAAATAAGGCTAAATCGACAGACAATAAAAGACTACAAACATAAGTACTGTTAAAATAAAAAGTTCACACCAACACAGCTTTTTGAAGAAGTGAACAGTAAATAATTGGTAGGGTAATCTTTAACCACCAGTGGCTGAAGTATCAGAACTGACTTTTTTAATTGCTCTGATTTGTTCTGGTTTGACTGTGATTGTGGTGTTGGTTTTATAATTACCCCCCAAAGATGTGTTTTGCCTAGAAAAGTTTAGAGAAGACATACACCTTATCGCTATTTGTCCACCATTACTGGACGTCACAAAGGTTCCCATAAAATTTTGACGTCACAGTAGAAAATAACTGACACCACAATGAAAAGTGATTGTTGAATGACATCAATAGTTCTAGAGGCACTGATTTCCAAATAGCGATAAGGTCTATTGCTGTCATTTTATAACCAAACTGTAAAGCATACATTATTGGTTGTGGTACAGACATGAATATCTACCAATAATATATTCTTTACAGTTTGGTAATAATTTTAAAGAAATTTGTATTATACTAAGGGCTTTTTGGAATGAATAAGAAGTGGATTGATATGCAATGATTAGAACTCGCATTCTGATATCTGATACATATGTCTGTATGCAAATTTTCCTGAAATCGCAATTATAATCGCATTTTTGTCCATCCTTAAAAAATTGCCATAATAAATGCGCGCAATAATTTTTAATTTACAGTAGCATTAATAATTTCTTTTTCAGAATTCAAAATAGTTGATGAATTGAATGAGGAGGACAATAAGACACCAACATCAGAAACCAAGACTACAGAAGAAGAAAAAGATAAAACAGCTGCAGAGGAAACAGATGATTCAGATATGGAAATCATCTCCGAAGAAGAAGCTCAAGCGAAACAATTAAAAGACTGTGAGAAAGTTGTAAATATAATTCGTAAAGAAGAATTTGGAATAGGTATAGAATTAAATGAGGACGGACAAAAATTGAAAATAGTTCAAGATGAGAGACTTGGTAGAAGTTTGGATCGTCTATCAAAAGATTTGTACAGTAAAGATACTCATTTTGTGCTGGAATTGATACAGAATGCAGACGACAATGATTACCCAGAATTCTTAGCTAGAAATGGACAGATGGCTTCTGTGAAGTTTGTTATGCAGACAGATGGAGTGATTGCTCTCAACAATGAGAGTGGTTTTGTAGAGAAAAATATCCGAGCTCTTTGTGATGTAGGCAGGAGCACAAAAGGAAAACACAAATTTGGATATATAGGTATGCCACTTTAGAAACTTTTAAGTGTATATTCTACATGTTGTTTCTGATTTTTACCTGTGTCCCCATAGGCGAAAGCAGGTCTAGTAACAGCTCAATTTTGTCCATCCGTCTCTTTTTACCTTGAAAATTCATTGTTTGGTGAGAAAATAATGCATATACTGGTGTACATCATGCTTGCAACAAATACTGTACAAAAATTAATGTTGTTCATCTTGAAAAATATGAATTTAAAGGTACATGAAGTTAATGAGTGAAATTGTTATTTACATTTTGTATAGATTGAATTAATGAATCAAATGTTTCTAAACAGGTCAAAAGGGTATAGGGTACAATTCAGTGTTCTGTGTGACAGATCGACCACAAGTACATTTTAATGGCTACCATATCTGTTATCTCTCTTGCAGGTCAAAAGGGTATAGGGTTCAAGTCAGTGTTCTGTGTGACAGATCGACCACAAGTACACTTTAATGGCTATCATATCTGTTATCTCTCTTGCAGGTCAAAAGGGTATAGGGTTCAAGTCAGTGTTCTGTGTGACAGATCGACCACAAGTACACTTTAATGGCTATCATATCTGTTATCTCTCTTGCAGGTCAAAAGGGTATAGGGTTCAAATCAGTGTTCCGTGTGACAGATAGGCCAGAGGTACATTCTAATGGCTACCATATCTGCTTTGATGTACAGAGTGGACCAATGGGATACATTCTACCACACTGGATAAAAGATGAATGGGATACAGGAGAAAAGTATACAATAATCTTTTTAATTTTTAACTATTTAATCTAAATACATTTTGTCTTTTAATTTCATTGGTTACATTGTAATAAGTTTATTTTAATCCAGTGCTACAATGACATTTTTTACAAAAGTTTAACTCTAAATGTTTTTTATTGATCTGGAAAAGGCGCAACAAATAGTGCCATATCCAGCTTTAGAACTAGAGTTTTGTGTTGTCACTTTTGCCTCTTCAATTAAACCTGTATATAAAGGTCTCCCTCAAGAAGAGACAAAACTGGCCTTATAAGAGAGTTGACTTTGGAGTTCAGGTTCAGAATGCATAGGTATTTCTTCAGTGGGACAAAAAGAGAATGACCTAATAAAACCAGTCACTTAAACTTCTTTTAAATAGTATCTGTATTGTGCCACCACAAAGGTTTTGAGTCACGGCATGGCTGTGTAGAATTGCATCTAATTATGGAATACCTTGAACTTTCAATACCGTATATGTTTTCTTGATATGGGACACTGAAACCGCAACTCATATGGAACTGACAAAACTGCAAAATTTCAACTGTTTTGGTGGTACATTTCTGTCAAATTGGATTTATGTTTATTACAGTTGGACAACAAAGATAGTCCTTCCCTTGAAAGAAGAGATGAAGATTCATATGAGATCATTAGCCGCCAGATTTAATGACATTCATCCATCTTTACTGCTGTTCCTACACAGATTGAGAGAAATTACTATTGATAACAAGGTTAGTTTTACATTTAAAATATAATTGATTAAAAGAAGTTCATATTCAGATAATTTTCACAATGTAACACACTTATTTAAGTGTATATTTAACAATAATATAATATTTTTGGAAAGAATTCTCTAGTCCCCTAAAATGAGCCATTACCCAAAAGTGGTCACCTTTTGGGATCACACTTTCTTTGGATATTTGTTGTCCATGAAGTTATTTTTTCTTATATCTGAATAACGTAATGTCTACCATTCATTAATCATTGCTCGATGTTAATAAGAAATGAGTATAAATACTTGTTACTTTGTGTGTAAAATGTGTTTTTTATTTCAACTTTTTTAACTATCTTTGACCACCAATTATTTCACTATCAAAACACTGCAGTTGGAAAAACTTTTAGTAGTACTCATATTTACATTCCTTTTTTGTATGTCAAAATGGAGATTTCCAGTAGTCCAGCAAAAGTATATACTATTTACTCTTTGAAAGTCAGTATATGTTAATTTTTTGTCAATTCACCAGAAAACAGAGTATTACTAATTTACAATAATTACCATGAAAAATTGATCAAAGAAAGTACAATTTCAGGTAGAGAATTCATCGCAGGTGATGAAAAGAAATGATTTAGGTAATGGTGTAATAGAAATAGAACATAACAATGGAATAGACCGATGGCTGGTCGTCAAGAAGATGTTGGATGCTTCAAAAATATCTCTCCAGGTATGGTGTAACTCACCCTGTACAAAACTATCTCTCCAGGCAAAATATCTCTCCAGGTATTGCATCACTTTTGTTAAATCATACCTCTACTAAAGTATTCATTCAGGTATACCAAATTGTTTTAAAGTTATACCTCTTTACTTGGTATGCATTTGCATCATGGGCTGGCTGTATTTCATACATCAAAGTCAAGTCACTCAGACCTTGAATTCGAACCCTACAATAGTAAAATCTTGTCTGAGTTGTGTCCTACGCATAACTTTTGTACCGTAGAACTTAAGTTGACCAAACTTGAGAAGAAATGGTATGCTGATGCATCATGGGATGGGGTGTGTCATATATCAAATTCTGGTCACTCTGAACTTGACTCTGACCTTTGATCCCTATGATAAAAAAAACTCTATCTGATTTGTGTTCGGTGCACAACTTTTGTACCATAGCACTTAAATTGACAAAACTTATATGATGATAAAACATTGTCTGATTTGTGTACGTTTTATAACTTTTGTATAGTAGCATTAGATTGACAAAATTTTGTATGCAGAAGCATCGTATGATCCAGATGATGACCTTGACCATGACCCCTATGCTGAAAGCCAAAAAGGTCATTTTCTCAATACTGAATTTCACAGCAGCAACTAAAATACATGTATGTGGGTATAAGTCTTGCTATGCAGACATCTCTAATTATTTTTAATTTTGTCCTGCAGCTAATTTAAGATTTACAAAATGATTAGGTATTTTATTATTCCTCCTCTTCCTGAAATTTATTCATCATTGATTAGTCTTGTTCATAAAACAAAGGCATTATCTCTTTCTTGTAGGCAAAATCTGGAGTTGAAGTGGAATCTACAGAGATAGCTTTGGCATTCCCCCTGTTAGATCAGTCTATTTTGAGTAAGGTAAGTCATCAAGAATCTATAGAGTCATCAATGACATATCCTCTGTTAGATCAGTCTATTTTGAGTTAGGTAAGTCAAGAATCTATAGAGTCATCAATGACATATCCTCTGTTAGATCAGTCTATTTTGAGTTAGGTAAGTCAAGAATCTATAGAGTCATCAATGACATATCCTCTGTTAGATCAGTCTATTTTGAGTTAGGTAAGTCAAGAATCTATAGAGTCATCAATGACATATCCTCTGTTAGATCAGTCTATTTTGAGTTAGGTAAGTCAAGAATCTATAGAGTCATCAATGACATATCCTCTGTTAGATCAGTCTATTTTGAGTTAGGTAAGTCAAGAATCTATAGAGTCATCAATGATATATCCTCTGTTAGATCAGTCTATTTTAAGTAATCCAAGTCATAAAGAATCTAGAGTCATCAATGACATATCCTCTGTTAGATCAGTCTATTTTGAGTATGAAGCTAAGTCGTAGAAATTTAGTAAGGTAAATCACAGAGAATATACAGAAGTTGCTTTGGCATTCTTCCTGTTGGATCAGTCTATTTTAAGTAAGGTTAGACATAGAGAACAAACAAAGTTTGACCTTCCATCTGTTAGACCGGTCCTTTAGAAATGTCACCAAGAATCTACAGAGAAAGCACCGTCATTCTCTCTGTTAGATCAGAATTATTGTAATTGACAAGTTTGAAGGACAATTTAGATTGTTATTGTTGTAGCAGCAATTTACTTTTTAGCCTACTATTTCAGCTCATATTATAAAGAAAGATACATGCCTAAAGATGCTGTTTTTTATGCCCCCGCAACAAAATGTTGAGGGGCATATTAATTTACTCCTGTCTGTCCACCTGTCTTTGTCCATTTGTCCATTTGTCTGTCTGGATATAGATACATGATATGTCCAGCTATCTCCTCCTACAGTTTTTGTGCTACATCTTTAATATTTTGTAGGATGTTTCTGCACATAACAGAGGTATGCTTGTCCACAGGATTTTGATTTTTTTTTTTAAATATTCTCAAAATGCCAGATATTTGGACTTAGTCATTTTTTAGTACTAGCTGCCTAAAGAAAGATCTTTACAAATTTGAAAATTGTTAGGACTGACAATATAATTAAACAAGAAATAATTTGTAACTGAACAAATTACTTTAAAAGTTTCAAATTTCAGTGCACAATCCTTAAAAATGTAATTGATTATTTGATTGTATTGATTTTTATGCCCCCGCCCTAGTGGAGGGGGCATTAAGTTTTACCCTTGTCCGTCCGTACGTACGTCCCAAAGTTGGTTTCCGTTCTCTAACTTTAGTTTGCCTCAACCAAATGTTATGAAACTTATACACAATCCTTATTACCACAAAACACAGATCAAGTTTGAATTTTGGTGGCATCACTTTAACCATTCTATAGTTATGCCCCTTTACAAATTGAAAAATTGCTGAATTTTTGTTTCCGTTCTCTAACTTAAGTTTACCTCAACCAAATGTTATGAAACTTATACACAATGATTATTAACGTTAACACAATTTTGATTTCAGGAAAAAGTGAATAGAAATATATGTATTAGATATCATAATGCGAGTTCTTATTATTGCAATACTCATGTAATTGCATTATTCGCATTAATAAAAACCTTGCAATAATTTCTGAATTTACAGTACACAATACTTATTACCACAAAACTCAAATCAAGTACAAATTTGGGTAGCGTCACTTTTACTGTTCTTCAGTTATGTCCCTTTATAACTTTATATGATATGCAAGCAAATTATTTTCTATGAATGGTAATTAAGGACTTGTTTTCCGTAATAACAATACAATTTCTATAAGTTATTGGTATTTTGAAGAAAAAACACCACAATTATGTACAATGATACAACAGTTGCAACTCTTTTGTGTTTTAAACATTTTGAACTGCACATTCTTCTGTAATGGTGATATTATTGTTACAAGTTAAAACATGCTGGCATACAAAAATTTCTTTTGAACTAGAAAGTAATACAGCTTGCTGAAATTGTATTTGATATGTATGTTATAGTTGTTTGACTGTTATTGGTAAATCATAATTTGTATTTACAGGTTATGCCCCCTAAACAGCCTGTTTTTGCTTTCCTGCCTTTGAGAAGCTATGGATTCAGATTCATAATTCAAGGTAAGATTGACATGATTAAGAAATATAAAAATAATTATTTTCTAGATTAAGAATGCTGAGCATTTTTATACCCAACCCCACCACAAACAAACTTTTTGGAGGTATATAGCAATCTTGTCTGTCCATGTGCATTGTAAGCACAACTCCTCCTTGACGGCTGGATTGATGTTGTTCAAACTTTCCACTGCTGTAGAACACTACTTGAGGGGAGATAATCAAACTTTCTTACTTCGATATTGCAATATGTGGTTATGGTCTCTCAAAAGCAAAACACCTCTTAAATGGTTGGATGAATATTGATAAAAACAGGGGTATACTTTTAGAAAACATTGAAACCTGCAACATGATGCAACTTTGAAAGAGAGCTGGAATTAAAAAGAAATTTAAAAAAGAATTTGGTTTGTTCTTAAATAGCATTATACACATTTTCAGCTGACTTTGATGTTCCTTCCAGTAGAGAGGATGTGGATAGAGACAGTGCATGGAATCAGTGGATTAGAAATGAAATCCACAAACTATTTTTGGAGGCTCTGGAAGTTTTCAAGGTAAGATGACTGACCACTGTATAAAAGATTTAATGAATCAGCCATTTGGAATCATAAGTATATAGTATTTTCAACATAAATTTCTGCCTTGGATAATATTAAACACATTTTTCAGAACCTAAATTTTAGAAGTCTGCAAGCTTCATCATATTAGAAATTTGACTTTCATTTTCAAATGTTATGTGCACAATCGCATTTCATTGGAAGTGAGCATTCTTTCAGTCAGAACTGACCATCCCGAACACAGATACTCATAAATTGTTCAATATTTCAAATTCAGGCTGTTGAATGCTTTTTTTTCAGAATCATAAAGAATTTAGTGGAATGAAGGCCCTGATAAACTTTTTACAGTTTGTCCCAGTAGAAGATGAGATTCTTGATTTCTTCAGACCAGTTTCAACACAAATTCTGAAACAACTGAGGGCTAAACCGTGTCTGCCTACACAGCCAAATAATAAAGGTTAATATCTCTGTATATTTAGTAATACATTTTCAATATTGTTCTGTGATATACTTAGTTTCACATATCATAGTAGACAAAGCTACATGGTCAACATTTAGCCATTGAAAAAACTTAGATCCTATTGTGCTTTAAGTTTAGAGGTCACAATTTCAAAGTATCAACATTATTAAGGAGCTTAAAGTTTTAGGAAGTATAGAACTATTTTGCATCCAATCTACATCAATCAGTGATTAATGATTTGCGTGGTTATAGTATAATACAATAATTACAAGTATCTGGATCTATTTTGATTTACCATATATCCATTTCAAAAAGTTTATTTCTTGTCAGTTGTGCTTAAAACTTATATATTTCACCAATGTGATGTGTAAAAAGTATACAGACAAATTTATTAAAATCTTGCACACAGTGAAGATGTATTTAAATGCCCTAAAGAGGGCAAATGTTAAGTGCCTTTTGACTAACATGTTAGTGAAAACTGTATTTTCATCATTTTTCACAAAATTGAATTGTGTCCTCTTAGCAATCCTTATATTATATTATTAAACTTGACATAAAAGATATACAGATCTAATATTGATTTTGCAGGTATTGTGTCATGGAAGTTACCCACACAAGTTGTCACAGTAAAGGATGCACTCATTCATGAAGTTGTCACACCTGAGTTCCTTCAGAAGCATTTTGATCTTTTCTACCTTCACAGAGAAGTAACAGACATGTTGAATCCAACATTGATACAGTGTCTAGGGATAGAATCTCTAACCACAAATCATCTAATACAGATAGGAAAAGCTATAACTATGTCTGGCAATACTGAAATAGGTAAAGGAAATGTTTGTTGTTAGAATGTCTATTTTTTTCAGTGGAGTCAGGTGTTTGTCAGGGTTTCAGCTAGGATTTTGAGGGCTTTAGTCACTTTTGCGCGAGATGAAAATCAACCTTTTTTGGGTAAAAGCAATGGACCAAAGATATGTATTACTAGCTATACATCTTTGAAGGACTTAGGCCTGCTCAGGCAGTTATTGCATAATTTGATAGATGTGGTGCTTAAATATGTAGATTATAATAAGATCTAATGAGGATCCGGATTTCTAGTTTTCAATTTCACTTCAGTTAAATTCAGGGGACATTCCTGATCAATAAAATTTGGGTTCCTTTTTTTTTCAACCAGGAATCACAGCATAAATAAACCTGTAACGACTATTTCACTGCATAATCATTATCCTTGTAAAAACAGTTTAATCCATCATTTCTATAAACTAAGAAACAAGGATTTGTACAATCCTTATTGGAACGATTCTAATGACTGTATATTGTAAATTAATCAAGAATAGATCACATTTACTTTCGATTTTTAAACGAAATGAAAACGGGGAGTGACAGGAGGATAATAAATTCAGAATTAATCCGGATTCATCTACGGATTGGTTCGTTTTTAACAAAAGGCAGGAAATTATCATATTTCTAAATCAAGTTGCTTAGTAAGAAATATATTTGTCTCCTTCGTTTATTTTGATACTAAATGATTTCGCATTTTACATTTTAATGTCAAATTTATAAGAATACTTTCATGCATGCGCAATACATGTAAAGGAAGCACCTGTTTGACTCATGAAAATATTTCTGAACGTTTTGAATAAAGTTCTCTACTCTTTAATCGAAATTGTTGAAAGTTTTTGATGAGAAGTTATATAAAAGATGACAAAACTACGACAAACGAACTGCAAATTGCTATCATTTGAGAAATATTGAAATTAAAATGTGAATGCCTCGGGGGAAAACATTTTGTTCAACTGATGAAACTATGATATAAACGAACTGCAAATTGTGGTCGTTTGAGAAATATATTGAAATTGAAATGCAAACTGACCGATTTTATTGGGAAAAATAATTATGATGGTCAATAATTTATGAGATTTATTAATGAACGGATTAGTAACTCATCCGATGGCAATAAGCGGATTACCTAGGCCTGTAATCACAACTTATAACACCTGTTGTAAACACTAATTAGATGAGGTCATAAACTTGTCAAGAACATGTAGAATTATAGTATTTTCATGCGAAAATATTTTTACTCTTTTCAAATTCAAGTGACGAAATTGATTTGAAAAACTTTTGTCATTTTGAAAACCTTTTCGTAAATGACAAAAATGACGAGCGCTAGCAAAATCACTATGTTTGTGGTTGGTTAAGTCTGTAATTCCTGATATCTTTTTAGGGGTAAAATGCAAATTTTGACTTATTTTCTTGCAAAACCACTATAGATAGAGAAAAACAGACAGGCAGAAATGTTGAGATCTACAAACTATCTATCTACGTCAAAACTGTCGGACAACCTCTCATGGGAGTTATTGGCTTTAAATAATGAATTTTACCAATTTTTTGTGTTTTTGTCTATCTTAGATCTTCAAATAATTATAATGGCCAAAATTGTAAGTTGATCTTTTTTGGAAATATTGATCTTAAGAAGATTTTTAACAATTTTTAGGGTTTTTGGCTATTATCTTGAAAACTATTAAATATAATTTTGCTGAAATTGTTAGTAGACTCTTATAGGAATGATACAAAATATTAACCATATAAAAACACTATATAACTCTTTAAAAGTTTTCCAAAGAAAGCAATTTTTTCTGACCTTCCTTAATCCTGCTGGATATCTAGTGTCTATTCATTCTTTTTTGTCTCGCCTTGACGGAGTCAAAAAGCAAGACATAGGTATGCTGTTTCCGCCGTTGGCGGCGGCAGCGTCAACAATGTATTAGTTTGTGATTAGGTCTAGTTCATGGTGAACCACTAGTGGTAGGTCAATGATATTTGATATGTAGTTGTATTAGCATTGGCACATTACATCTCATTACCATGGAGATTATTTGGCCCTGCCCCCTCAGTCAAGGTCTATTGACTTTGAAACTTTTCATCGTTTACATGTATTAGTTTGTGATTAGGTCAATTTATGGGGAACCACTAGTGGTAGGTCAATGATATTTGGTATGCAGTTGTATAAACATTGGCATATCTCATTTCCATGGAGATTATTTGGCTCTGCCCCCTTAGTCTTGGTCTATAGACTTTGAAAATTTTGCTAAGTCAACATGTATTAGTTTGTGATTAGGTCAGTTCAAGGGGAACCATTAGTGGTAGGCCAATGTTAATTGGTGTTCAGTTGTATAAGCATTAGCACATCTCATTTCCATGGAAAATATTTGGGCCCGTCCCCTTAGTCATGGTCTATTTACTTTGAAACTTTTGCTTAGTTTACATGTATTAGTTTGTGGTTAAATCAGTTTAAGATGAACTGCTAATGTTAAGTCAATGATATTTGGTATGCAAATTTATTGGCATTTGCAAGTATCGTTTCCATGGAGATTATATAGCCCCATCCCTGATCATGGTTCATTGACTTTGAAACTTTTACATAGTTTACAAGTTAATGTTTGTGTTTAGGTTTGTTTAAAGGGAACGACTTATAATAAGTCAATGGTATTTGGTATGCAGTTGTATTAGCATTGGCACATCTCATTCCATGGAGATTGTTTATCCATGTACCTTCAGTCATGGTTCATCGACTTTGAATATTTGCATAACTTACATGTTAAAGTATTGCTATTTCAATTTCAACATTTGCATTATCAAAATTACAAAAAGGCAAGACACATCTCTGTGATAACAGTTTATTATTATTTGATAATCAAACAACAGAAAATGAACATTTCATTAAATAACAATTTATTATTGCCAAACTAAGCCTTTATATCGGGTTATTTTATCTCATCTTTGTAGATCCCCATACCAGAATATTTCTAATTGCCAAATGGTTAGCCTGTGTGTATCGTAGCTTGGACGAATTTCATGACAACCAGGAGATTTACAGTGAACTAAAAAAGATGAAGATGGTACCTCTGGCTTCACAGGTCTATATATCTTTAGAGGAGAATACGGTCTTCTTTCCTCTGTCTATGGAAGAGATAAAAAGATCACAACAACACAAAGGTATGATAAGTTAATGTGCATGTTTCCTGTAAGGGTAATGCTGTATTTTTTCCTCCTTCTCATGAATCGAAAGCAAGATCACCACAACACTGAGGTATGACAAGTTAATGTTTAAGGAATAATTCCAAGACCACTGTAGATTTGTTTTCATTTAATCATGGTTTGGACATTTATATTCGATTATTTTATCCCGAGCAATAGCCTTATGATTACCAATCAACTAAATTCAGAAAAGTTTTGATTCTTAACCCTAAACAGTGCAGTTCTTTACACTAAGGGCTGTTGTATTAAATCATACATGGTACCCAGGGAAGACAAAATTTTAGAATTTCACTTTTATTTTCACTACAAAAGTATTTGACGTCAACCCTCCCATGCAGTTCCTGTAATTTTCTAACAACATACATTTTTTTTCTAGATCCACTGTCTTATCTACAAGAAGACATGAACACTATCCATCCATGGTTTCTGGCAGCACCCGACAATGAAGTCAACTCCCAGGTTCAGAAAATGTTGGCTAAATTGAATGTCTGTCAGTTAACACCACATGATGTCATCAACCACCATATACTTCCTGTGTTAAAGTCAGATATGTGGAAGGTAAGTCATGTGACATGAGTGTCTGTAAGTTAACACCACATGATGTCACCAACCATCATATACTTCCTGTGTTAAAGTCCGATATGTGGAAGGTAAGTCATGTGACATTAATATATCTGTCAGTTAACACCACATGATGTCGTCAACCACCATATACTTCCTGTGTTAAAGTCAGATATGTGGAAGGTAAGTCATGTGACATTAGTATGTCTGTCAGTTAACACCACATGATGTCATCAACCATCATATACTTCCTGTGTTAAAGTCAGATATGTGGAAGGTAAGTCATGTGACATGAGTGTCTGTCAGTTAACACCACACGATGTCATCAAACACCATATACTTCCTGTGTTAAAGTCCGATATTTGGAAGGTAAGTCATTTGACATGAGTGTCTGTCAGTTAACACCACATGATGTCATCAATTATCATATACTTCCTGTGTTAAAGTCAGATATGTGTAAGGTAGGTCATGTGACATAAGTGTAGAGGGTATGCCTATCAGCTTTAGTTTGGGTGATGCTAAATGTTCAATGTTTTTACTGTTACAAGTTTTGTGACTTGCATTGTCATAGGAAAGAGCAGCCTATTAAACACTTTGTCATTCCATCTGTCTGTCTGAAACACACAGAGGGTATCTATTTTGTATCATACATAGCTCTAGTAGTTTTCTTTCAATTTTATTCATACTTCGCACAATGATTGCAAACATATTGATGATGTGCGCTTCCTATTTAGGGCCGATTTGAATTATTTTTTCGGAGGTTTCTCGTGTGTTGAACTGTTGTCATACCATTTTTGTCATCGGATATTATAGAAGCCATTTGTAACTCCAACAGTATTACATCACCTACATGTAATTTATTTTACAATGCTCTTACATACCATATATGATTTACTAAAGTTTGTTACGTCTGATCCAGTGTTGTAGAGATAAAATTATTCCTTTGTCCAAGAATTTTTTTTAACTACTGCAGGAATTCTGAGATTGATTCATATAGCTAAAATGCATGGAATATACATATATTTCCAAAATGTATATCCATATAATGTCAATAAGTATAAAACCATATTGCAATAATGCTCTTATAGTTTATTTTGTTTTCAGACAAAAAGCAGGGAAACATTGATAAGCTACCTTGTCTACATCAAGGACCAGACAGAAAAGAACAGCTCATTGGTCAATATGGATGAGTTAGCTAATGTTGCCATAGTGATGACCAATCAGGGTGAAAAGAATCCTCAAAAGGACAATGTTCATTTTACACCTATATATGGAAACAAATATAACTTGGTACAAACATTCCCAGGTATTATTGAATTTGTATACACTGTTAAATCAGAAATTATTACAATGTTTTTATTAATGTGGAAAATGCAACAGTATCAGATTCGCAATAAAACAAATCACATTCATGTTTTCAGAGGTGATTTCCTTCAAAAAAAATTTGCAAATGCTTTTACGAAATTTTCTATTTTTGTCAGAGGTCAAGGATTTGCAATTATAAATGCAAGCATTTATTTCTGAATTTTGAAGTATTTTAAAGCAGGGCTTCCAAAAAATATTTGTGCCAGTGGGACATTTTTTGTCTTATCCCAATTTGATCCCTTAAGACTACATAACAAAAGGCAATCATGCTAATCAGTTGGGCATCATATAAACAATGAATGATTGACATAAAAACGATATTTAACTTGACTATTTGATACAAATTCAATGTACTGACGTAAACTGTTAAATTGACAGTGCATCATTCGAAGTATGCAACATTAGCGTACTTATATCTGCCTTAGAATCTTTATTTGTGCAAAATTACGTTGTCAAAATCTTTACTTTCGTTTTTGAAGGTATATTTTCTCATACCGGATGTTGACTTGATAATGGTAAAACACAGACCGGAGACGGATAGAAAAATATGTGTACGTTTACAAAGCACAATCGAGTTTAATTAGCTCTTTCCAACGTTATTTCTTCAAGAAAATACTTGAAATGAACGTTAGATAAAGGTATCAATGATAATTTTAGTATTTTTGAAGAATTCAGATGCATAATTAAATCTCACAACTGCGCACATGCGCACGCATGTACTTTGTTCAAACAACGTGGTCCTGACGATTTTTTCGCTTAAAACCTTCATAACTACCTTTTAAAAATTTTAATCAAATCATATTTGATCATATTTATATGCATATTTTTTATCATTTAAATCTTTTTGATTAAATTGATTAGATGCAAACTGCTGAAATTTATGAAAATAACTTCAAATAGACCGATCAATGTCCGGTATATATTAGTTTACCTGTTACCTGAACAGGTAAATTTCAACTGTCTGACAACTAATTACTCTTGATTGTAATGAGAGGGTATTAACGTAGGGTTTGTTTTGATAGTACTTATTCACTATGTCACTTTTATGACCAGAAATGTGGCTGTTTAAGGCAAACGGTCGGGTCAAAAAGATCGCAAAAACTTCATTTTTTTCTGAATTATGTTAAAATGGAAAACCCACGTTAAAGGTCCGTTTCAGGTTTGGCACAACAAGTCATATTTGTAATTTATCTGTCATGTCCGGAAAATACGACCGTATTGGAAGCCCTGTTTTAAAGGTTACAAAATTTTTTCAATGAATTATTTTGTAAATGAGAAAAAAATAGATGATTCACAGCAAAAATAAAAAAAATAATAGTAAGAGCAACTTTATCAATACATGCATCTTCAAATTAGGAAAATGGAATGATAAATTTTCCACTAGAAGAAGACTTAATTGTTTCAGATGTAAAACATTTTACTATATATAGCTATTTGACCATTGAAATTTAATCAGATAATAAATTCAGCTGTCCTGGCAAAGAGATATATATATTTGAACTTGTAATTGAAGAAAAATTTGTGGTACAGGTGTAATACCACCATTGATTTTCCCCTATTAGTCTTTGTTAAATTTGCACTTTTCAAAAAATTGTGCAGAATTTATCTTTGTTTCAAATAAAGAAATACTTGGCATGAGTAAAGTTTTATCCTGTCCAGTACTATAGAAAAAATTTCACATAACATTTCATTGCATATAAGAAAATAACCATCACTGGAAGTTAACCAATCAAATTTTCCCCCTTTTTTAACCTGTGTACAAGCTTTAGTAACCATGTAACCTCAAGTTTCCAAAATATTCTATAGAAACCCCAAATAAAGAAATAATGGTGCTTTGAAATACCCAAGATATATGTTTATGACTCAGAAATGTTTTACTGCAATGAAATGTAGGATCAATTACCTACAACTGTCAAATTCAAGGGAATATTTTTTTTCGACCTATTTTCGTATGCAACCGGATGTGACGTACTATGATTTGGTGGTATTACACCTAAAGAAGACTTTTTTGTTGAATAAACTGAATGTGACTTTTTTCCTTTGTAATACTGGTTATTTCAAGCATTCCTGTCAAGTTTTGTCATAATCAGTTCAATAGTTTGAGAAAAATCTAGTATAATGTAAGACGACATCTACAGCGATTCGAGCAAAATTTCTTCGAAAAATTCAAACCAAGCCGCATCATGATAGAATATAGTGTGGACCAATAAATGATCAAATATTTATCTCATCTGCCTACAAACAGTTGAATATGATACAAAAGATGACTTTAGGATGATAAATACTACTAATGGACCTCTTATTCTTCCTTATAAAGTCTCTTTTGGTCCATTTATACCTCTCATTTCCTCAAAATTTCTACTTTTTAGGCCATTAAATAAAAATTTTGGGGTAACTTTCACTCATTTATGATAGAAATGTTATTATAAATGATTAATTGAAGTATTCAAGCTGCTTGAACTATCCGTATAAAAGTTTACTGTCTCCAAGGAGGTTTCAATAAGTCCTTGCGTAAAACTTAAATTTACGCCGCGTTCCAGAGAGGGACATAAAAAACTTCTCTTTTGGTGAATAATTTGTTGTTACTGCTTTAAAAATAATTTCATTTACTTAAAACTATATATTTATTAAAGTATTTCTTAGGAAAAATTTTCTAGTATAGCAGAATTGAGAAATAAGGAGAAAAAGCTCCCCAAGACTCTAAGTATGGCTTGTTCTGTCAACTAATATTCATGGTAAAGTCCTATTTCAAGGAAATTTTCTCATAAAATGTATTTTGGAGACTCAATCCACTCAGAATATTTCATTATTTGTAATATTTCACTTAAATAGCAAGAAATTTTAACACATGAGAGTACTCACAAGGTCAAAGGTGCATGTACAGCTTCCCATATTAGGTGTAATACCACCATTGATTTTCCCCTATTAGTCTTTGTTAAATTTGCACTTTTCAAAAAATTGTGCAGAATTTATCTTTGTTTCAAATAAAGAAATACTTGGCATGAGTAAAGTTTTATCCTGTCCAGTACTATAGAAAAAATTTCACATAACATTTCATTGCATATAAGAAAATAACCATCACTGGAAGTTAACCAATCAAATTTTCCCCCTTTTTTAACCTGTGTACAAGCTTTAGTAACCATGTAACCTCAAGTTTCCAAAATATTCTATAGAAACCCCAAATAAAGAAATAATGGTGCTTTGAAATACCCAAGATATATGTTTATGACTCAGAAATGTTTTACTGCAATGAAATGTAGGATCAATTACCTACAACTGTCAAATTCAAGGGAATATTTTTTTTCGACCTATTTTCGTATGCAACCGGATGTGACGTACTATGATTTGGTGGTATTACACCTAAAGGTACACATCCTTATAATAAATTGCAAGAGTAAAACAAAATAATTCGGATTTGATGAAAAGTTTATATTCTATTGCAATGCTATGTATGATTTTAGGATATGAGTGGCTCCTGTTAGACAGTGTTTATATACAAAACATGGCCAATAACACAGAAAAACAAAAATGGCACAAGTTTTTCTCCAGACTTGGTGTCACTGATTTCATTACTGTTAGACCTGTACATGTAGAGCTGGATTCTGAATCAGTGGTATGTTTATATATAAAAAAATGACATTCTAAGCATGAGACTTTTGAGTAAATTTATTTTGTGGAAGAATAATTTTTTATTAAGTAGCAGTTGTGGTAGATATTTGTGGTTCACTTAGATAGTTGAAATTAGTATGAAACATACAAATCTTGATTACTTTATGTTGTTGATAGCTTCAATTGACTTATATAAAATTAATTTTCTGCAATAAATTTATCTTTGTAATATGCCATTCATGAATGAAAGAATTCCACTATTGTACAACAAATAAAGAAAAAGTAAATGAGTGTAATAATAACATTAAAAATGGCTAGTTTACATTGTTCTAAGAATTTACTGAGTTAACCCTGTCCTTTGTTGGTATCTTTTTTCTTGTATCATATTCTTAGTAGCTTAATAAATCACAGCTTTGTATTAACTTTATCCTAGCTGTCTACTTTGTAAATCTCAAAAGTGGGTTATTTTCCCATTGGGAGAAGAAGAAGACTTTATAAGATTTATTTAGTTGTGTCTCATCCCTTTTGCCTTTTTTAGCAAATAAAATATGTTTAAACAAACTCCCATTTAGGAAAATTTTTATGAAAATTTCATTTTGTTATCCATTTTATAGTTATAGTATTCATATTACAAAAACAAATTACAGTAAAGTTTCAAATAATTTCCACCATTAATGAATTGAGTAGCTATAACAAGGTTTCAAGTGGCTCAGTCCTCTATATTGTGAAAATAAATAATAATCTAGCAGTAATGTTTACTGGACAAACTACCACTGATAGTCAAATGATAATTCATAAAAGTGAAAGAGAATGAAGATTTCCATTTGTATAAAACTAATTGGAGATTTCCTTAAGTTCAAGCTTATGCACATGTGTTTATTGAATTTAAATTACAGAAAGAAAGTGCCTGGTCCACTATAGAGCAGTTGTATCCTGAAGACTTCAGCCAGGGTTGTGTTGTAGAAGATTACAGCTGTGATGAAATCAGGGATCTGTTGAAATCTAACAAGTGTCCTCAGAAATATGAACAACAGATGAAATCCCTTTGTGAATACCTAGATCAGGTCTGGGATACACAATTTGTTAGATACACAAAAACAAAACTAATCAGAAAGGATAACAAACATGAGAGGGATGTTGAATCATCCTTCTGTATCTGGTTGAAGACTTGTGACTGGTTACCTGCCATTGAAGTGAAGGCAGAAGTGGGTACTAATGATATCATCAAGTATACAGAAGAAATTTGCCGTATGAAACCATCTGCTTTATATTATCCATTTCCAGATATTGTAAAATTGTTATATTACACTGTGACATATGTTGATGTGAATTTCAATACTGATAAAAGTACATTTGCCAAATTTCTGGGTTTGAAATTTGAGGTGTCATTAGATGATCTTATAAACAGTTTGAAAAAATGGGGTCAAAGGTCAGATGGAGATACTCATTCAAAGTTTCCAACTTCACACCAGCACATTATGTCATTTTACAATCATCTTAGTGAAAATCTGACAAAGAAACAGATTCAAGACCTTCTGGACAAGGAACCAGTCATTTTTGTTCCAGTAATGACAAGAGGGTATGACAAAGGAGATTTATTCAAACAAAAATTTGATGTGGATGTTGCTGGTCAGATGCTTTGCCGACAGGAAGTGTGGTGGGAAGACAAAACAGGATTATTCCAGAAATATCAGGAAATTCTGACAGAAATTCATGCAGATATTGGCAACAAGAAAATTCTTTCAAGCTATGTGAAGTATTCTGTGTCATCTGGTCTGAGAGAATTTTTCAAAACTGGAAGAATTCAGATGTGTCCAGATGTTGAAGAATATGCAGAACTATTGGTTCATGTGGCCGGTGCACAAAATCGTGTGGAATCAGAGACATTACAGGATGTGATGAAAATATTGTCAATGATAGGAGAACTTATGTACATTGATGAAAATGATCCCGAGAAGGAAACTAAGCAACTAGTTTGTGACAGTAAAAAGAAGAAAATATTAAATATTTTTAAAGGACAGAACATAATACCTACAAAAAGAAAGACATGGACATCACTTGAAAATAAGCCTCTGATGGCTGATAGCAAGGAATATGAAAACATATTTGAGAATCATGAGAAAGTTCATTTTGTACTGGTGGAGGAACAGGTCCAGAGGAGGAAGTACAATACAGAAGGTAAATAGTTGATCAATGGGTATTTTTATCTATAAACATACCAAATGTTAAATATCAATTTCTATCTAAAATTTCTCTCAAATTAAAAATAAATTTGAACATGGAATAAAATAAAGGTGGCAAACATTACTGTCATTCCAAATTTCAAGTTGCTTCCGATTCTGGTAAGTTCAGATACCATGGTACCTTTCTTTAATAGTTCATATGGCACGTACAACTGCTAAGTACTGTTCCAAGTTCAGACAACACACCTATTTATTTCAACAGCAGTAGTAACACGTTTTCAAATACATGTATTGATTTAATAAGATCTATTGTCTAGAATTCTCAACTATGAATTGTTTCCAGTTGATTAAGCAACCACCAATCTATTTATAACTAATGTGAACTTTAATCTGATTTCAGGTGGATCTTACAAGATAAATACTGAAGCAATGATGAGCTTAATTAGGATGTGTGAGATTGAAGACCTGAGTGCCATTGTCGAGGAACAAATAATATTTGACATGTATATACCCTGTCCAAAGTTACAGGCTTATATGGTACAGTGTGTACCATTGTTACAAAAGTTCCTGTATAATAATTATGGAAATGTATATAACTATGGAAGTATCTACCAGAACTTAACTACAGCTGGTATTGTGGAAACATTGGCCAAACTTCGATGTGTTGAGGTACATATGTTATAGTCTGTTATATTTAAATGGATGGAGTTTTTACATACTGTAGATTCATTTATTTATGTGGAAACCAATTTTTGTGGATTCAGGAAAAATTTTGTTTTTGTGGATACTTGATTTTTAGGTTTTTAAAGTTCTCCATACAAGCATATTGAAAAATTTTATAATATTATTAACATATTAACAGTTTAGGCTGTTCCAGAAATAAATATATTGAGGAACTTGTTTTTGTCGGATTTTACAAACATTGAATCTTATGCATATTATGTTACATGTACATTGCAGACAAACAAACTGGAAGTGAAATACTGGTTTAAACATGATCAAGACATCTATGCCATCAGACCAGAAAATTGTACACTGAAAAATGAAGAATTTATTTTCCATAAAGATTCTGTAGAATCCTATGGTGAAATCAACAAGGTCATAGCCAGGGTGTTCAGTAACAATGACAGTGGATGTTTTAGGGAATTAAGGTAAACAGTGATCAGATATTGAATGTGACATACTAAGAATTTTTTTAAGAGATGTGTTAAAAAAAGGAACTGAGACAAGTGTCTATGCAATATGTCTAGCGCTAAAACCGACTGAATTAAGAATTTGTGAGTAAATTTATTCAAGACTATCAAAGATCTGCCATCAGCACTCAATTCCATGTATACTGACAAAAAAATATGAAAATAAAACAAAACAAAACATTGGACAAGATATATCAGTTTCAATAAAAAGGTGGATTTGAAATGTACAATCAACCAATGCAGGCCATTTCATCCTCATAATACTATTGAATATGTCAATAAAGGATAGATTATTTTTCTCATTTTCATGGCAATGTTGCAGTTTTCTCGACAAATGAAACTAACGACACATTGTTCAAATGTTTAAGAAATGGTTCTAAATTTTAGAAAACACAAAAAAGTAATTAATCACAGAGTTTGAATTGATGGCAAATATGGTTTACAGACAAAGTTTTTATATGTAGCATACCCTTTCCTTGCAATGACTCATAACATTGCAATCAAACTTCAACTCCAACCAGGATGAGTCTCTTTTAACTGTTTAATTACATCAAATTTGTTTCCTTACTGAAAATGGTCTGAAAGATATACCAAGTTGTATATTATTAACATACAAACACATTATTCTTACAGAAATTTCCTGACTGATGTACACAGTTGTATATTAGGACAAACACGTGAAACTATAGACAGATGTCTGAACAGGTATAATGCTGGATATATGCCTGATGCAGAAGTTGTTTGGTCTGTTCCTGCTCCATTGTTACCAGAACCTGAACCCGAGCCTGAACCAGAACCTGAACCTGAACATGTTGGTATGTAACCACTTCCACTCAAACCCCCTTCCCCCCCAAAAAAAAAATTCAGCAAGCCACTTTAGGGAGAGCTGAGCTTGTTGAAAAGGCTAATATAGGTTTATTCAAGAGTGTAAGACAAGACTGCCAACTCTCTGAAAAAACACATTAACTACAAAATAAAAAATTACCTAAAGCGTAATAAAATAACATTTGAAACTTTGTGGTTTTAATTGCTTGTAAAATTCTTACTTTTTTGGACTAATTTTGTATCATTTTTTGTTGTTTTTGACCTTTTTGATAATTTACAGGTGAAGCAGTAATGGAAGAAGGAGACATTATGGATAAAGAGGGTGAAGAGCAAGAAGAAAACAAACCTAAGGAACAAGAACCTAACCAAATGAGGGCTTGGCCACCAATGTCTGATGGAAAAACTCATCCTCCTAGAGCTAAAAGTAGGGTCTGAGTATAGTGTGTAAAGTAGGGTCTGAGTATAGTGTGTAAAGTAGGGTCTGAGTATAGTGTGTAAAGTAGGGTCTGAGTATAGTGTGTAAAGTAGGGTCTGAGTATAGTGTGTAAAGTAGGGTCTGAGTATAGTGTGTAAAGTAGGGTCTGAGTATAGTGTGTAAAGTAGGGTCTGAGTATAGTGTGTAAATGGAAAAAAAAACATAATTAGAATATGCTGGTTTAACTTTATGTGAAAGCATGAAAATAAAAAAATCTTTAAAAACACTTTATCATAGCTGATTCTTGAGGATTGTTGTTTATCAATTCTACCAATACATCAACATGGTTACTGTTTCTATAAACAGAATATAGAAAGTAAAACAGTCTTAAAATTAGTCATCTATGCAAGAACTTGTACAAATTGGACTGAAATAATCATGTATACTAACTTTTTGTATACATTTTAATTGATTAAAACCTTGTTTTTTTAGTGAATAGAGAGAACAAAGAATCCAAAGTCTGGCCTCCTCCAAGGGCTCCAGATTACATAAAGTCAGTTAAAGACTTACCCTCTGGTGTCAGAGTAATGGAGGACAGACCAGAAGGTGACCAACAATCATCAGAATATGGTACTCAGATTTATAGGAGACCTGGTCAAGAACAATATGGTATATCACTTTCTTAGTCATAATTATCAGATAAATAGATAAATCTCATGATAATTTATATGCTATGAATTGTAAGAACTGAGGAGCAAGCAGAATATGGGCACATTTTGTGAAATTTTAATTATCGATGAAGGATAAAACACAGGACATTTCAATTTTGATATTGCACTACATGAGGCGGATAATGAGATATTATAAAAAGTTAAGATAGTTTGTTTCTGTACATTTGTAACTAGATCAGTGTTATCTATATAACAAGCTGGTAATCCTGATGCCATTTACTGAGTTAATTTCCTTCATAAAATACTTTGCAGTACATTCTATACAATTTTATAATGTCCTGCCTAAAACAGAAGAAAGGCATTATGTTTTTGCGATCTGTGAGTCTATCCATCCATCAATTAGTCCATATCAGGTTATAATTTTAGTTTAAGGAAGGTAAAAATTTTGGTTCCGGGTGGTTTATGATCACATCAACTTTCTACACGTGTTCATTTTTATGTGAACTTATTACTATATATGTCATAAAAGGGTTTTGACAGAGTTTTATGGTTCAATGAACTTGGAAATAAGATAGTGTGAGCAGGGCATGGTGTCCTATAGACATTTATCTTATTTGATCTAAATTGACATTAAAAGTAAAATTCAATTTGATTTGATGTTTATGTAAAGTGTTACAGCAAAGTATTTACAAAATACAGTATATTTTATTCATCTTTGCTGGTCTTTTTTTTGTATTGTTTTGTAACTCAATATAATTCTCTGATTGATTTCGATCAATATATATGAAAACAAATTTGTATTTAATACTTACTGATAAGTTGAGTGCACCTTTATCAAATTTCATTTTCAAAATTTCAAAGTTGTTTGATTGATGTGAATTCTGATCAAATTGTCTAAATTGTCAAATGACACATTTTCTGTTTTTTTTTTTTTTTTTTTTTTTTTGTATCATTCAAAAGTGTATTATATAACTGTGAATCATGGTATTTGGAATTGTATATAAAAGATGAAGAAGATTGTGCACGCAATGACTTTAAGTGACAACAATAAAGTACAGCAATATCAATAAACAAACAGTATGCATCATTTGAAAACAAAACATTTTAAAAAAAAACAGAGCTATTTTCACAAAGAATTTTATAGGATATTTTTTTTTCAAAGCTTAGACAGGATTTTATAAAATTCTCTCAGTGAATGTCATTTCTTTTTGGTTTTCAGGAGAAAGTGAGCATCAAGAATATGAAGAAGGTCAGATGCCAGTTTCGGCCCTTGATAGAAGAGGTCAACATCCTATTTACCAAGATGGTAGATCTTCATATCCATTTCAAGATGGTGATCGACCTATACCTTTCCTGGAGGAAATAACACCAAACATGGACCAAGACAGGGGTCAAACTCTGCATCCAAAAGGTGAAAGTGAACATCCTTCAACCTCATATCAAGGCAGTGTTCCTCTTGGTGAACATGCAGGTAGCCATGGAAACAGGGAAGATAATCAAAACCGACAACATCAAGAGGGTGCATATTACTCCACCCCAAGACGAGATGGAGGTGTTCCAATACCTGAACAAGATGGAAGCTCTTTAGGAAAGAGGCGTCGTGAGTCTGGAGGTAGTGATTCCTCCCAGACCCAACCGTCTGCAAAGAAGCCTGATCTTAGACTAGGTACTTGCTTGGCTTACTTGCATATTTCTTTCTCACTTGTAAATATGTATATAGATAGCTTGGTGTATAAATTAATATCGATCTGGTAAAACAAACTTTTCATATCAGGATCAGTATATGGTAAAAATCTACAATTTTATCAACAAATATTAAATTTTACAAACATATAATTGTAAGTTTACAACTTTATTTTCTGAATACTTTGTTTAGTAAACAGCTTACTAATGATCTATTTAAACATTAATCAATGCAGTTGAATTGCTATATAATATGCTTGATTAATTGCCATGCCTTAACATGGGACTATTTATTCCAAATATGTCTACTTCTACTAGATAATGATTAAAGTCTGATGGAATAGTTATTTCAAGTTATGCAATGGTACTTCAAATGGATAATGATTTGGATGCTTAAAAATAATTAACCTGTAATGCTTTTAAAATGATTATTATAAATGCCACTATTTAGTATCTATAATATTTATAATTTAAATGGAGATGTGGTGTGCATGTCAATTGGACAACAATCCAACAACACAAAAAGCTAAAAGACATCTAGAGGGCAACATACAGAATTCAACAATAAACTGGTGTCTATACACAAAGTCAAGCTCTATATCATCTATAATCTAAAAAAATTGTGAATGAATGTTTATAACATAAAATATCAAATTTTCAAAATAAAGAAAAACAATAATAAATATGACATAAGACATCCATCAATTAAGTGTTAGGCTTTTGACAGTTTTTTTCCCATTATCCTCCTTTCACAATGATAGAGCAATAATCACGATTGATTGTTAAACAATGGGAAAAAAAATGGAGATTAATTATTACAATATCAGGAAAAGCTACCTTCAGATTATGCTTTCAAAACTTAGAATGAGGGTTTAAATTTCTGAATAGTGAAAAACATCACCAAAATTTCTGAATTTCCAGGAATGCCTCCAGAAAATAGAAATAAAAATAGGGTCACTGTACTTGTTCTGTTGCTACATGACAAAATAGATTATTTGCAGTACATTCTTTTATTAAACTAAGTTATCAGAGTTATCTTCTCTTGTTGAGTAAAGTTTTGAATTAATCAAAAAAGTGTGTATTTGTAAAAATAAATTGTAATTGCCAAAAGACAAAATGATGTAATTTATCATTAAAATGAAAAGTACCACTAATAAATTGCATATGCCACATCAAAATTTCCTGATACATCATTAAAATCCATATGGACTGATCAACTGCAGTCAAAAAGGAAAAAAACCTCTATTCTTCAGTAAAAATTAGTTCTATTTATTGCAAATCAACATCAATAAAATAAAGGAATACCTTTGTTGTAGGTATGCCAGTATGGGAGCAAGAACTAGGGGAATATGAAGAAGAAGAACTTGCAAATAGTGCGGGATTAAAATTGCCAACTAGTTTGTTGATGCCCAGTAGTGACAAGACCTCTGAAATGCCAGAGATTGGAAGGTTGGGTGAACTTACAGTGTATCAGTATTTACTTAATGAAATGGATCAGAATCCTACAGTAACATTTGTTAATTGGTGCAATGAAGATGAGGAGCTGGGTCAGCCTTATGATTTTGAAGTAGGTGTAGTGACTGAAGACACGGAATTTACTGTTTATATTGAAGTTAAAAGCACGCTGTCTAGTACAAAGGAAATTTTTGAAATCTCATATCCACAGATCAAGTTTGCACAAGAGAACAAAGACAAGTTCCATGTGTATAGAATTTTCAATGCAGATAATCCCGATAAAGTGAGATTGGTCCGTATACAGAATTTAGCAGAGAAAATCAATGCAAAGCAAGTTAGGCTATGTTTGTTGATATAAAATGTTTGAAGGACATGTTTAGTATTTGTTGTGTAAAAATGCTATTGTTTGTGAAATAATGTAATAATTCCACATAATTACATAATTAAAATTTTCATTAGTATTCTCAATATAATGTAGATTGGGAGTGCATGTGTTGGTCATACTATTGCTGTTAAGAAATCTCTGTAGAATTTTTAATTTGATAATTAATAATCACGATAAATATTTTTTCCCATCAAAACTAGTTTGGGTAGTTTCAGGAAAAGCTAAACATAATATTGAGCTCACTTTATCCAAACAAGCGGTATAGCTATTGTTTGTAATTTGGCTTCAGTCATTTGGTGGCCCTCGTCACTAGTCAAGTATTATTTTATCGCTGTGAATGAATGTTGTTATGATTATTTTTGAAGATGGGACCAATGTAATCTATTTTTAAATGAACTCTTTAATTTTGTATTGGTTGGTTCCCTTTTTTTTAGATCAAAGGTAGAACTTGGATATTGAAAGAAAGTAGAGTAATTTTTATCATCATTGATTTTACCTTCTATAGAGCACTTTTCCCTTACATTTTCAATGTCACAATGCTAATGTCATTACATCACAGTACAAATCAAATGGTCAATGATCTCATTTACGCTTGTTGACCCTAGCGTAACCCATTCAGAAAAATGAACTCTATATGGTCTATATTCAGAACATCTTGTATTAACATGTATAGTGATGTAGATTAAACATTCAGCACTCAAATATTTTATACTGCCTTGTACTTTGTTTTTATACTAAGAGTTCATTGATGTTCATTACTAGTTTAAAACAAAAATCATTTTTTTCTTCATATTTCATTAATTTGAATTTATACTGAAATTTTTTTTAAATATAGCTACATAAAGGAACAATAAGCCAAAAAACGGTATCTCCAAAACTGCAACATGAAAAATTGGTGTAAGATGCTAACAAAAAAACATGAAGATTGGTAGCAATAAAATAGGTCTCCTACCCTGAAAGAATTGTACTGTTTTGAAATACCATTAGTTGTAAATAGTTAGATATATACAAAGCAGACATTGTAATAATGAAACATGTGTCAGTTTACTATTACAAAATCACAAATTGACTGTATCATGGAGAATATTAGAATATTAGCAGCTAGTTTGTGACATTACATGAAATAATGAAGTTGTTCTAACCCTATGATGTTTTTCTCATCAAAATCAAGGTTGTAACATCATTTATTAGAATAGTTTTTTTTTTGCACGTCTTTTTAATGTTTCTTAAGTGCATATGTCACTCAAGACACTTTTCCATTTAGTGTTTGTTGTAAACAACTGTGTATTCTTTGTCCAACTGACAATGTCTCACCTGCGATGAGACAAAGGAATCCTATATTATATATTATATTATATATAAAATTCTACATACTTTTCATATATTTCCAAATTTTAAAATAATATTTATGTTTGGCAACCTCTGTTTTAATTGCTTTAGAAACCAATGTGGGAGATTGCTTTCTTTTGGACTACTAGTTTCAAATTTCTTTCGCTTTCTGAGCTAGTACCCATTGAATGAAGCAGTGCTTCAAAACACCATAAGACCTGCAAGTGAATTTGTAGTGATTAACATCCACATCAGATTGATATCTAAGAGCAAGAATAATGGCAGACATAGGTATGAAAAAACAAGTCTATAGACACTGATGTTTTTAAGATTCATTTGTGTGCAAGATAACAATATAGCTAGTTTTTGACCAATCCTAAAACCATGAAATCATGGACTGAACCAAATGAAGTTGTTAAATGACTTCATTTAGAGGCTGGGAACACATGGTCTTGATTTTTTTTCAACAAATAAGGATACTTTTGGAAAATAAATCTAGTTATAGGTAGGCTGATGTTTTGTACTCCGTATAAGTCCTAAACAGAGAAATACATCGCACAACTTTGTGCTTGGGTCAGTTTCTTTACTATAGTCATGTTTTTTCATACCAATGTGTGCAATGATGATTCTGCACTTTGGGTATCATTGACAGGGGTGGATGGTCCAAATTTTATGACACAAAGTTGTATAAATAAAAAATCCACGTTTTTTTAATCATTGAAATTTGTGATGTACAGCAATTTGTGTTCTTTGACTCCGATAATTACTTGTAACCTTATAATTCAGGCCCTTCCCATAATCAATCTCTCTTCTTCACCCAAGGTAATGTAGCCATCTTAGAGTAGCGGAATATGTTGACTTAATTATTATTATTTAGTTAAGTTACTGGAAGATATACAAAAACAGTGTTTAATTGCAACAGGAAGTTTTGTATGAAACAAAATGATCAACACCCCTAAAGGAAATTAACACAATCCTGAAATTACAATTTTTTTTTAAATGAAAAAAAAAAACAGGCAGGAAAACTTTTGTAGGGAGGGGTGGGGATGAAAACCTATATAAATTAATTTTAAATTGCCTAAGGTTGTATGCGACATCAGCATTTATGATTAGTCTGTGGTTAATTTTTTTTTACTTTGTTAAACCATATATAAATGGAATTTTACAAAACTTGGGACAGAAGGTTCTGCATGATCAAGAAAGTATCCATAGCAAAATTGGAAAAAAACTTTGTTTTTTCACATGATAAATTGAAATAGTTTTATGTTGTTCACATTAAGATAAAGTAAGTGATTACCGTTTTTTAAAAACCAATTATTTTGTTAAACCTTCATGGTTTTTTATGAAGCTTGAACAGAAGCTTCTTCATGATCAAGAGATAGCATCTTGAGAAAAAGCTAACTTTTTTTTTATTTTTCCATATTTTACTGTCTGATCATCATGATAATAGGCAGTCAACATTACACTTTAACACTGACAGCACCAGTCGCAGGTGAGACGCTATGTTTCATGGAACCCTTTATGAATTTTGTAATGACATTATTAATTGTTGTTTATTACCATAATTTTTTATTGATAAATACTTGTTTTGTTAAATAAACAGCATGAAATCTATTAATCTTTGTTTACTTAATTATTCCATGCATCAGGTTTACTACAGTATTATGTGGCATCAGATGGTTTTTGATTGCTGTTATTTTGGTTGATTTTCTCATCTCTCTTTTAAACACCAGAGATGTAAGGTAAAACCATAATTTATTCAACATGAGGGTTATTTGGAAAAAGTTCTTCAATCTTTACAAAAATTAATAAGATCACAGCTTCATATGGGTTATTTATTCAATATATTTTTGGCATTGGCCAGTTAGAGCTTGTCTATTGTTGAAGACTGTATGTTGACCCCAGAAGTCTTTTGTTTTTTTTGTGTTATTACAATGTTTCTAATTGAATTAGACAATAACATTTCATACTTCTAATATTTTTAGCCTGATTGTGAATGCAAAACAAATTGCTAAAAACCGCAATTTTTATGCCCCACCTACAATAGTAGAGGGTCATTATGTTTTAGGGTCTGTGCATCAGTTCGTTCGTCTGTCCGTCCATTCGTCTGTCCCACTTCAGCTTAAATTTTTGGTCAAAGTAGTTTTTGATGAAGTTGAAGTCCAATCAACTTGCAATTTAGTACACATGTTCCCAATGATATGATCTTTCTGATTTTAATGCCAAATTAGAGTTTTGACATCAATTTCACTTTCCACTGAACATAGAAAATGATAGTGCGAGTGGGCAGGTTAAAGTTTTTGGTCAAGGTAGTTTTTGATGAAGTTGAAGTCCAATCAACTTGAAACTTAGTACACATGTTCCCTATGATATGATCTTTCTAATTTTATTGCCAAATTAGAGTTTTGACCCCAATTTCATGGTCCACTGAACATAGAAAATGAAAGTGCGAGTGGGGCATCCATGTACTATGGACACATTCTTGTTATAAATTGTGACATGCAGTTTTTTATCCCCAAAAAAAAAGCGAGGACTTCTTGATTAAAACCTAAATTCTATAGCAAGTATAGCTATGTATTATCTTCCAGATACAAATAAATTTATTTTGGTTAAGGTTGTCTTTCGAAGCATAATTTTACAGAATATTGAAATTGTCTTCATCAGAAATATATAATATACTTTCATTCCCAGATAGTCTGATTTTCTGTGTCCGATTTCAAAAATCCACAAGTTACTTGATTAAGTCAGAAATCTATGCAGTGTTGGGTAAACTATGTTATCTCCATGGAAACAGCAACCTATTGATGATGTTATCTTTATGGTAGGTTTTCGTTAGGTTTAGGTGGTTAAAATAGAAAAGAGCAGTAGAATATTATAAGTGGTAATCTATTAAATCATTCCATTTGATGTATTCACCTGTTTAAAAAAAACGGATAGATACATAGATAAATGTCATGTAATGCGACTTTTCAAACCTCCACATTAAAAAAACAAGAACTTTGTTGGAATTCTTTTATGTAAATACGATTTTGAAATATTGATATGAAAAACAGTTGAAAGTCCTAAGCATATTTTTAAGACTTTCAACTGTTTTAGATACCACTTGGTTTTATTAAATTGGTGATTTTAACCCTGCTAGTGAAATTGAGGGTAAGTTGGCCATACCTGTTTTCATTGAAAATTACATTATTTTTTTTGCATCTTGTTACAAAAGTCACATATTTTCAAACTTTGAATAATTTTTAGGTTTTTCAGTAGAATTATGCAATAGAATTATAAACTCTTTCTTAATAAATCATTTGGCCACCTATTGACATTTCTTGTTGTTCATCTATCAATCTAGAACTGTTAACATCTTTAAAACAATTTAATAATCTTCAATGATGGAACAAGAGGGTCAAATATAAACTGACTTAAACGAATCATGCCTAGGTTATCTTGTTTAAGAATGATATCACATGTACCAGTAGATTACGTTTCCTTCAATATTTGATATGACAGAAGAACAAAATACCTGCATGTATACTGTTATAAGATTGGTCATCAAACATAACAATGATTGTAGTGAAACACACAAAAGCATCAGTGATTATACTAGTATTGCATTTGGGATTCTTTTACTGTTTTAACCAAAAGGCTTTGTAGTTTCATATAGCAAAGCATAGACTAGCCATTAATGGGTTTACCATTTAAGAAGTATGAATATAAAACTCAATTGTGATTTCAGTTAAAAATCCTAAATAATACATATCATACCAATATAACGCCACCATGGTTACACAATAACTTAAAAATATCAATAGTTTTGTAACAAAACATGTGTACTCATTGAACTGGTTTTATACTTATAATGGTTTTGGATTTCATGAAGATGAACACCAGTCCTGGTATAAAAACAAATACCTTTGGTAAAATTGTGATATATATTCGTTGATATATGACATGACTTGACTTATTTATGGAGTGCTAGTGGGAATATACGAATCGAAAGCCTACATTAATTTTCCAATTCACTGGTGCAGTAAAATTGGTACAGTTTGTGTTATCACAAGTCATGATCTATTAATAAATTTCGTAGAGTGCTATCTCCCCAGTAGCCAGTCCAATTGTACTGGCATGATATATGATATAGGAAAAAAGATGAGGTTTCAAATTTCTAAGGTAATGTTGATCTAAACATGCTTGACTGTTTTGGTTTATATGCCCTATGATTTTTAAATTTTTTGGCTTTCCAAACTGCTGTGGAATGCTATTCAAGAAAAACATGCCATACGTACAAAAATGTGTATCATACTTCTTGACATGAAAATTTCAGATACTTTTTAGTTTTGCTTTGTCTTGCGTCTAATTTCAGGTTTTGTTTTATGCTGAATGAGGGGAACTTTTCAATTCCTTGTTTTGTGATGGTTGTTATAAAGTACAGGTATTTGAACACTTTGGAGAGGTCATGATTCAATCCTAGCTTTTTAAGTCGATGTTGCATGTTGCTTGCTCGGATGTTTTGAATAGCTTTATGCAAGAAAAGTATAACAAAAATACCGAACTTCAAGGCAAATTCAAAAAGAGGGAAGTTCATAAAAACTGACAAGACCAAACGTTTTCAACCAACGGAACGAGTGAAAAATAACTGTCCTATTCCTGACTTGGTACAGGCATTTTCCGAATAGAATGCTTGGTTAAACCTGGTTTTATAGCTAGCTAACTCTCCCACTTGCATAAAAGTTGTTTATAGTTCCGTAATATTGACAAAATTGGGTGATCAACCCAAACAGACAATAGGTTAATGTGACAATAATTGGGATCCAGCAGCCATAGTTGTCTAAACATACATCACAGACATACACAACAAAACTTAAAACAATCAACTAATTTACAAGAGCTTTACCCTGCTAATTAGGATGAGTATATTTTACAAACACCACTATATGTATAGTGCTAAACACATCTAGCCTTTGATAACCAATTTGAAAAGGCCTTGAGTTATCGGCTCCGATTGCTATAGTGTGAAGCATTGGTCGTGATTTAGTTGACATAGCTTTGTGTACTGATGTCATCTGGTCGTCTGCATTACATTGTGGTTGTACAGGTGTTTGCGCCATCCTGAAGTGTCTGGTGCTTTGGTCTTGGTTTGGGTTGACATGATTTAGACATGGTGCTTTGATGCCCTCTGGTCATCTTTGCATAACATTGTGTTTTTTTAGGTTTTTGCACCCCCAATAAGTGTCTGATGCATTTGTGTTGGTTTGGTTTACATGGCTTGGTGCATCAATGTCATCTGATTACCTCTTTACTACATTGTGTTTGTTGAGGTTTTTGAACCATCCGTAAGTTTCTGACGCACTGGTCTTGGTTTGAAATGGCATGGTGCATTTGTGTTCTTGTGTCATCTTTCCATTACATTGCGATTGTTGTGTTTACGCCATTCTAAAGTGTTTGATGCATTGGTCTTGGTTTGGTTGACATAGCTTGGTACATTGATGTCCTCTGGTCGTCTTTACATTACATTTTGGTTGTTAAAGTTTTAGCGCCATCCTTAAGTGGCTGATTTATTGGTCTCGGTTTGGTTGATATAGCTTGGTACATTGATGTCCTCTGGTCGTCTTTACATTACATTTTGGTTGTTGAAGTTTTAGCGACATCCTTAAGTGGCTGATTTGTTGGTCTTGGTTTGGTTGATATAGCTTGGTACATTGATGTCCTCTGGTCGTCTTTACATTACATTTTGGTTGTTGAAGTTTTAGCGCCATCCTTAAGTGGCTGATTTATTGGTCTTGGTTTGGTTGATATAGCTTGGTACATTGATGTCCTCTGGTCGTCTTTACATTACATTTTGGTTGTTGAAGTTTTAGCGCCATCCTTAAGTAGCTGATTTATTGGTCTTGGTTTGGTTGATATAACTTGGTACATTGATGTCCTCTGGTCGTCTTTACATTACATTTTGGTTGTTAAAGTTTAAGCGCCATCCTTAAGTGGCTGATTTATTGGTCTCGGTTTGGTTGATATAGCTTGGTACATTGATGTCCTCTGGTCGTCTTTACATTACATTTTGGTTTTTGAAGTTTCGCGCCATCCTTAAGTGGCTGATTTATTTGGCTTGGTTTGGTTGCCATAGCTTGGTACATTGATGTCCTCTGGTCGTCTTTACATTACATTTTGGTTGTTGAAGTATTCGCGCCATCCTTAAGTGGCTGATTTATTGGTTTTGGTTTTGTCGACATAGCTTGGTACATTGATGTCTTCTAGTCATCTTTACATTACATTATGGTTGTTGAGGTTTTCGCGCCATCCTTACGTGTCTGATGCATTGGTCTTGGTCCCAGTGATGCGTTCAAATGTGTTTTGGTTCGGTTGACCCCGATGATTCCATTGGTGTCATCTTTCGTAAGCACTACATTATAGTTGTTGAGGGTTATGCACCATCCGTAAGTGACTGAGTCATTGGTCTTAGTTTGGTTGATATGGCTTAAAAACTTTGAATTGTTGGAAATACTAAGGATATTCTGCCCTAGAAATAGATTACCTTATGTGTATTTGGCAAAACTCTCGGAAATTTACGTCCTTAATGCTCTCCAACTTCGTATTTTATTTGGCCTTTTAACTTTTTTTATTCGAGC